GTCCCTTTTCAAAATTTCGTTTTCTTTACAAGTTCAAGAATTCATAAAGATACGCCAAAGGGACTCCGTCTGTGGGGGCATACCAAGGGACACTCTGCAGACATAAGCCAAAAAAATGGATCAGTGAAATTTGCGTTCCCTATTTGATGGTGCAGAAGAACACCGTTCTCATTTCGCTTTCAATTTTCTCTCTGCAATTATGAATTATTCATGTCGGTAAATATAATCTTTTTGTATAGTTGCTAGTTGCTACTACATAAGTGCAACAAGTTCTACCTCTGCATCATACCTTGTGGCTATTGTGATATCCACGTCTTAATTCTGTTATGTTACTTCTATCAATTGGTTTCAGTGTTACGGTTTTTTTTTATTTCATTATCTTAATTATTCTTTTTGGATGCTATCCCCATTATTTAGACGGGAAAATGAATCTACGTAATTATATATAATATTGTAAATATTCTTTTTGGTACTCAGCAAATTTTACGATGTCCGCTTTAGTCTCTAGTAAATAAAAAGGTCTATCGTAGTCTCTAAGAAATTAAAAATACACCCATTTTAGTCCTTTTAGAGACTAATATGGGTCTTTTTTGAATTTGTTAGGAACTACGATTTCAACTAAATGAGTCCATTTTGAATTTCTTAGGGATCACGATGAGCCTTTTTATTTGTTAAGGACTAAATCGGACATCGTGAAATTTGCTGAGGACCAAAAAAGATATTTACTCTGTATAAAATTAGGGATTTATAAAAATAATATTGTAGGAAAATAATTGTATCATGTCATAGAAATACCAAGTGTGGGGTTCATCTGTTTTTTAAAAATAAAAATAAAAATACACAAGTCGATGGATCTGTTGGAAGCATACCTAATTTTCTACAACATGATCAAAGTATAACCCATAAAATTAATTTTGAGTCGAGTGGCGTAATAATTATATAAATCTATCCCATTGTTATGAATATATAAGAGAGGGAAAAAAATACATAAAGCAAAAAGGGAAAAAAAAATACATGATGGGTTATATACTTGAATTGATGCTATTTTATTTTCAAATATTGTTAGGTCAACTGCACATATCATTAGGTGAGAATTAAGATTAGTTGCTAATTCCCCTCAGCTTGACTTCTGATTTAAGTCTTTGGGTAGGCCCTGCTATTATGTCATTTGATTATTTTTGTTGGTAAGCTTCGTCATTAGGGGACTGCTATTCTTCAATTGATTATATAGTCTTTCCTCTAAAAGGCACCCTTTTATATTTGATTATTTTAGTAAATATGTAACCACCACTTAAATTTAGCATTCAATTTATCAATACTTTAAAAAGATTGCCTTAATTAGTCTAAGTCCTTTTATTTCTGCAGTTTCTTTGGAGTAGTAGGACTGTCATTTTTCTCCTTTTATGGCAATTCTTACCATCTCTTTTCAATAATTCACTCAAATCATTCGGATCTGAGTTGTTTTAATCGAAATCTACATTCTTTTAAAACATATTATTTTCTTGTTTGCCCCCTTTTTTGGACGTTTTTGTTTCTCTGTTAGGTTGGTTTTTATGTGTTTAACTTTATGCCTTTTTCTATTTTTGTTGTTTTGTAGATAGGAGATATACTCAAATCTACTTTGGGGACAAGATACAATCTTCTAAGTTGCATTCCATTGGCAAATTATGTAGCAAGTGCCCTTGGGCTTTTATTAATGTGAAAGTTCTTCTTGTCAAATATATATATATATATATATATATATATATATATATATGGGACAAGATCCGTTTACAAACTTTTTTTGCAATTACACTAATGTAGGACCGGTCGTACACTGTGTGATTAATGTAGGACCGGTCCTACATAGTGTAGTTTGTAAGAGTTTGTAAACAAAAAAGTTTGTAAATATAACCTGCCCCTATATATATATGAAAAAATGTTTATGTTTATCCTTTTAAATAACACAACTTATATCCGTTCACTCTTACAAAGAGATGGACCCATACCTTTATTTTTTTTTTGTCAATTCTCTTCTCTTTTATCTATCTTTTTTTCTCTCTTAAAATAACACAACTTTACATCCTTTAAAATGATACACACTTTTCTCATATATATATATATATATATATATATGTATATATATGGAAAAAAAGTATCTAATGTTACTTTAGATAACTTTATTTAATGTACATTGAAACGACGTCATTTTGGTGTTAAAAAAATTAAAAAATTAGAATGATAAAGACTATTATAACCCTGAAATAAATTAAAATTACAAAAATACCATGATTTCCGTCCCAAAACGACGTCGTTTCGATAAACATTAGATAAAGTTATCTAAAGTAATTTTAGAAAAATAAACCCTATATATATATATATATATATATATGTGTGTGGGCATTTATACACCCACTTCAATTTGTAAGATACCATGACTATTACGTAAATACCCAAAAACAATAAAATACCATGAAAGTATACCCCTTGATTTGTGTCATTGATTTCGCAATCTAGCACATAACTCATCAACACAAAATGAGCGTTCCTTGGCTATGAGATATATCTACTCAAATGAATAATTAATTCAGCTGGACTTAACAATTTTCTTTGAAAATGTTAATTTAAATATTAAAAAGTGAAATCTCAACCCAAACTAAATTGAAGAATACTATAGTTTTTTTTTTAATTTTTTTTTTTTGAAATTGTCTGGCATTGGTGGATCTACCAATAATTCATGGTTCAATTTGTAAGTTTGAATTATTATATATGTTATAGTCTGTATCCATTGAAGTTTGTGTACAAGAAATAGTTGGCGATTAATTGAAGGCTGATTGGTTGGGGGAATTCAAGTTGTCTCGACTTTGGGATTCATTGTTTGATCAATGATCATCGCCATTATTGGCAACACAATGTGCAGGAAATTAGGTTCATGATGACCACAGTCCTTTTAAATTCAAAAGGACTCCACCCAAGTGTTATTGACTTCTCTTTTCTACTGTGGTTTTAATTTTAAAGCTAAAAAAATAGGGTTCATATGCTTTTTTTAATAAATTGAATTTGGAAATGAGTTTATTAGTTAAATAAATGCAAGAATAGTTGTAAAAGTACTTGAGATCAATTAATAAATAGCTGTTATTGAAATGTCATATACCGGGAAAATATGTTAACTTTTTCTTATTTGTTCTGAAAATGTTTACAACATCAAACAACTAATTTGGAAAATTAGACTCAGATTAATAACTTAACATGGTTAATTGGAATAATACTTATCCCTTGTATCACATGGCAAAGAATATCACCTTGCTATGCTTAAACCCAAAAAAAAATAGAAAAAAAGAAAGAAAGAGCATCGGATACTATGTAAAGTATTTTAAACATTATTAAATTATACATGTTTATTATAGGAAGGCAAATCTGAGATGGTCTATTTTTCAAGTGGTGGAGTATTATTTAAAGCAAAACGCCAAAAAACCGACAAATGAGATTATAATTATTATTTATATTTAAATAGTAAAAATTCCATGATACTTTAAAAAAATAAATAAATTTCATAAAAGAAAGAGTTCAAATTATATTTATTTAATTTATAGTAATATTTTTTTTTTTTTGGTTCAAGATTATAGTGATATTTTGTCTGTGAGCAGAGCAGATCGCACAGGGTGTGGGTCCCTTTTTGTACAAAATAATCAGTGCCAGTGCTGAAAGCGTAACTGAAGAAAATTAACATAATGCATCTTCTTCTTCTTCTTTTCTCTCTCTCTCTCTCTCTCTCTCTCTCTCTCTTCGCTTTCTCTCTCTACCTCTGAGTTCATCCATCATCTCCATGTTCGTCTAGGGTTTCTCTCTCTCTCTCTCTCTCTCTCTCTCTCTCTCTCTCTCTCTTAATTTTCCACTTTGATTGAGTCTTCTGCGCTGTGGATTCCATCTGCCGAAGTTCCTGTGGCGTCAATGTGCTCCTATTTCTTCGCCTTCGCTTGCTTGCAGGTGCGGTTTCTGTGTTTCCGATCGCACTCTGTACAGTTTTTATTGTACTAACTCGTTCCTCGCATCTCTGATGAACGGTGTTTGTTGTTCATTCATATATACTGTGTTGCGTTGTCTGAATTTGTTAACTAGATTTCGAGATTTTCTCTTTGTGGTTTCTGAGCTTCAACTCGGAGAAGCTGCTTCTGTTTTTGGATTCTACACTTGGTTTCTCTGTTTAAAACTCCTTCGTTTTCGGTTTTTGTGTGTGTGTGTGTGTGTGTATTTTTTTTTTTTTTGTGGTGGGATATGGATCCTTAAGTAAATTCACATTTCTTCGGATCCTTTCTCTTAATTGGATAATGTCGTAGTAAACATAAACAAGAACTGGCTTACAACTTTGGTTTGCTTTACATTTCATCTGATTTGGGTGAAGTCCTTGAAATGGTAAAAAAATAGTTCAATCCCGCTTCAAACCGGATAGTTTTATTATATACCAACAGAATCAGCAAGGGGAATTGTTGTGCTTGTTATAAACTAGGTCCTGTGCATAAATGCATGTTTGGGCACTATCCAGATTGAATTGGTGGCTCAGCTTTGAACATCCTGTTGTTTAATCCTATTGATTTATCTCGTGGTTACTCTTAATTTGGTTTATTAACTAAATATTTGAATTCTTGTATTTTATGAGATAGATTGGCTTGTATTCTGATCTTCACATTAATTTCAGAGAGTGCCTAACCGTTAGAATTTTGAAAAAGAAAAGAAAAGAAAATTTCGAAGTGTCTTGCTGTTCCATGTGCAATTTCATATATGTGCTTTGCAACTGGCCCTTGTCCTGCAAGTGAGAGGCTTATGGTATTACTGATTTTGGGGTATCTCTTACAGTTTTGATGATTTGTGTTTTTGTTGTCATATGATTTCTGTGTCTTCTTTTCTGTCAATGTGTGTCCTTCCCTGTTTCTTCTTACTTACTTTACAATTTTCATATTTCATATTTCCTCTTGGTCTCCTGATACGTTCAAATGTTGGCCATTGCATCAGGGTTTCAATGTTACGTAACTGCTAAAGAAGTGGATGTACCATTCGTACTTCAAATTTGATTTGAACAAAAGAATGGTTTGGATTTTGAAAGTTGGATTGGGTTCACTGTCCTTGAGGTGTGAGTTTATGGTGTATAATACACTGCATGTGAAATGAATTAGAATAGACTTTCGCATTGAGAGGTTTCTGTTACTTCTACCACACCAAAGTTAGTGGAGCTATTTATCTCTAATGGGTTCATTTTCCGGCACTTGTGAAATTGTTGAAGCAAGGGAAGACCTAAATGCAGGGAAAGATACTGGGATACATCAGTCCACTTCTGGATATAGTGTGGCTGAGAAAAATCAGAAGCTTCCTGTGTTGAAACTGGGATTCAAGGATAATATAGATGATGATATTAATAAGCTGTTTGAATCATTTACTCTTAAATCTTCATCAAGGGATTTGGGATTTTTACAAGATGGGACAAGCCCTAAGATGAAAAGTGCACTAAAAAAGCCAATCACAGTGGGTGTTCCTCGGTCCCCGCGAGTTGGGACTTCTGAGCCAGTGACTTTGAAGCAGGCATTAAGAGACCTATGTATATCTAAGGCATCAGAAATGGCTGCAATGAAAAGATTATCAAAGTCAACAGCTTCTCCTAGAATATCCGAGGTTGGGAAAATACAGACATTGTACAATTCAGTTGTAGCTGAAGATAGACGATCTGGACCTTCTAATGGTGAGAGTAAAGGGAGAACAATTGAGATATCTCTAGTGTCAGATGAAAGCAATTCTCTTGCCTTGGATAAAGCATCCCAGTCTCATCAAACTGCCAAAAGCAATCCATTGAGCCAAAATGTTCATTCTTCCATTGCAACTACACAAAATGATACTGGGGCATGTTCATCAAGTAAAGTTGAGGTTCCATCACAGCCATTGGAGTCTGCTCAAATAGAAAAACAAACATCTACATCTTCAACATCTATTTGTAACACCAATGGAAGTATATTAGAGTTGCCTGAAAATGCTTCTTCTCCTAAAAAATTAGGAAATAAAGCACCTGTGTCAAAGAATGGGCGCAAAGGTAGGTTACAAACAGTGTCTTCCTCATCTACTTCAGTAAATGGCAATAGAGTGTGCAAACTGTCACGCAATGCTCCCCGAACAGTTAAATCGGTCATCAAGAACAAGAATTTGGGTAAGAAGAAACTAAATCAGGTTTCAATTTCTTCTTTAGTTGATCCTACACCCAATGAAGTAAATAACATGTCAGTTCCTGGTACAACTCAACTCGTTTGCGAGAGATGTTGGTGTGCTATAGAAAATACAAGCAAAGAAAACAGCAAAGGTATTATAGAATTGGACTCTATCAGTCCTGGAGATGGAGTAAACTCGAGTAATGTGCACCCTCAGTCAGCATCAACTGGCTGTAATAGCGGCAGAGAAGTTACGAAAGTTAAAAAGAACACCAGATTGAAAGAGCAACTTGAATTTTCACAAAGTTCAAAGAGTAGCCAAGGTGACCACAGTAGCAGTACAAGTACCAGTGATGAGAGCAATGTCAGTGGTTCTAGTTGTGGTAATAGACCTCACATGTCAAAGGATGTTAGATGGGAAGCCATACGACATGCTCAAATGCAGCATGGAGTCTTGGGCTTGAGACACTTCAATCTTTTGAAGAAACTTGGTTGTGGAGACATTGGGACTGTATATCTTGCTGAATTAATTGGCACAAATTGCTTGTTTGCTATTAAGGTCATGGACAATGAATTTTTGGCAAGAAGGAAGAAGATGCCTAGGGCTCAAACTGAAAGAGAAATATTAAGGATGCTGGATCATCCTTTTCTTCCAACACTGTATGTGCAGTTTACATCAGATAACCTGTCATGTCTGGTCATGGAGTATTGTCCAGGTGGAGATCTTCATGTTCTACGGCAGAAACAACTTGGTAGAAGTTTTTCAGAGCCAGCAGCAAGGTATGATAGTAAGAACAACTGTCCAGTAATATGTTAGGATTTTATTTTCTATTTTGTCAGAAGTCATATGCAATCTCCCACCAACTATATTTTTAGGTATGCAATAAATGGTATGATTCCTTAAGTATTTCTGGTTACAAACAAATCTGTTTAATTCACGTAGTTGCTGAAATATGCTTATGAATATTCTCATGAATCATCATTTGTCATGCATTTCTGGTATATCTAGTGCAGTCAATAAGATTTTGAATTTTGATATGTTTATTCCGTATAATATATGCTTCATTGCTGCACTATATAAAATATAGTTCTATGACTTTTGAGGTTGCATTAAGGATATATATATATATATATAGGAGCAGGATTCTTTGACACCGGTGTCAAACTAAAAAGTTTGACACTAAATCTTAACGATTGATTTCCACCAATCTAATGGTTATAATTTATTAATTATTAATTAATTATTAGTTTGACACTGGTGTCAAAGGATCCTGCCCCATATATATATATATATATATATATATATATATATATATACATATATGGCAAAATGATTTCTGCAGCTGCTGTACCTACAGCAAGCAAGGATACACGTCCGAATCCTAGGATACGGCAACGGATCCTGAGTTTTTTTTTTTTTAAGAAGCCGTGGGGCCCACTTTTCTGTGTCAGTTGTAGATAACACTATCTACGACTGCTGCAGAAATGTTAAGCCCTATATATATATATATATATATATATATATATATATATGCTGTTGCAGCTTGCATAACTTGAAAAAGTTTGTTTTTTACCTTGTAAATCCTGAAGGTATGAAAAGTCTCAATGAGGTTTTTTCACTTGGTTAGATATATTGATAGACCCATTCAAGTTGGTTGTTATGTTAAGGCTATAGCATAACTGAATGCTGAGCTGGTAAGGAATATTAGGAGATGGGAATTCGGTTAGGGAAAAATGAGAATATAAGAGGAAAGGATAGGTAGTGCTAGCTAGGAATGAATTAAATAAATGGGTTAGGAAGGGGATACAGGTTCTGATTTGGCAGACCTCTAGAGTTTTCTTTTCAATTATCTGTTTTTTGCTTTCTGTAATTTCATGTTTTCTGCATTTCAATTCTCTGTATTTGTGTTGTTGTAAGGAGCTAGTCTCCTCTGTTCTTCATTAATAGAAATACAGTTCCATCATATACACTCATTCTTTCAGGGCAGACATTTCCTTCCTATTATAAAATTGATAGAGTAGAAAGAGTTAGATGATGAAATCCTGCCAGTGACTTTTTTTTTTTTTTTTTGTAAATTCCTGCCAGTGACTTTGGTTACTGATTGATGGAGCTTTTTAAGGAAGATATCATGTTACTAGTGCTGTCTTCTTGATCTGCTGTCATGCAGCTAGCTTGTGCAATGCATATTGCATATTTGATATTCTATTGGTCATGCTTCAGTCAAATGTACTCTTCCACCTCTACTGACCTACTAAACCACCAGCCTGTCACTGCTGCTGTGCCCTGAATTTTTTAATCCTTGCAGCATTCACTGCTTATGATCCCTATTCTTAATTACCACTTTGTTTAGCGTAGCAAAAGAGGTTGTTTCAATTATTGACTAAAATTTGGTAATAATAACTTCCTCCTGCACCATATGGTGGAAGCATGGTTTGGTTGTTGCTGGAATTTTCGTAAATATTCAAATAGCCATCTGCTTTCTGGGGGCAGTTTTTGCTGTCAGCCTATACATATATGTGGCTGTGTGCGACATCCTTCCAGTAGCATAGAGTGCTGCATAGGGTGCAATGGGGTGTGAGATAGAACGGGGTATGACATTGTTTTTGCATAGAGTGCAATGCATGTCATTCAAAATACTGAAGTTACTTTTTCTGTTTTTCCTTTGTTTTTTGCCCTAATGAAATTGAATACGTTAAAAAAGCTGTGGTCTTATATCTCTATCAAAAGCTTCATAATTAAGCTTGTTAAGTAAGTTTTCTTATTGAGAAGGAAAAAAAGGAATTTAAGATCGTGATATTAAATATATGAAGTTCTAGTCATTGAGAATGAGAGTAGAAATAGGGATATTAAATAATGGGTGCTTGCTTATTTTTAGGCCATCCTTATATTCTAATGAAATATAACTTGTGTCAACTGATATCTTGTTATCTTTTTAAAAGTTTCCAGTTTCCACAGTGAACTAATTGTTTGTTTTTCTTCTTGCCACTTTGTCTGGTTTAAATATCTGTGTTTTTCTTATGCGTTTATAAAACCCTCTATGTATATGTATTATTGCTCTCTCTTTCATAAACAAGATTAAGCTAATTAAAAAAACATTTAAAACTAATAATTTAGTTTTAAAAAAGTAAAATTTATCAAAACAATTTTATTGAAGTTATGTGTATTGCGGCATTAGTCTTGATTAATAATTGTCCCTGTACATTCATGCAAAATTTTCAACAAATATATATAATAGCTGTTAAGGTGGAAATTGCTTTGATAGCTAACATAATTGAATTGGCTTTCAGTTTCTGATCAGAAATTTTATGTTAATTCAAGCCAACCTTGTTCACAACACAAAAACAAATTGCTTTGTAGTCACTAGAACCTTTGTACCCGCAGGTTTTATGTTGCTGAAGTCCTTCTTGCTTTGGAGTACTTGCACATGCTTGGAGTTGTTTACCGTGATTTGAAACCTGAAAACATTCTTGTTCGAGAAGACGGCCACATTATGCTCACGGATTTTGACCTGTCACTGAGGTGTGATGTTAGCCCGACTCTTCTGAAATCATCTGATGTGGATCCTGCTAAGATTTCTGGTCCTTGTGCACAATCGAGTTGCATTGAGCCATTCTGTATTGAGCCATCCTGTCAAGTTCCGTGCTTCAGCCCTAGATTCTTACCTACTGCTGCAAAAGCAAGGAAATTAAAAGCTGATCTTGCTGCTCAGATCAGATCATTGCCGCAACTCGTGGCTGAGCCTACAGATGCAAGGTCAAATTCATTTGTTGGTACTCATGAATACCTAGCGCCTGAGATCATCCAAGGAGAGGGACATGGAGCTGCAGTTGACTGGTGGACATTTGGTGTTTTTCTTTATGAGCTTCTATATGGTAGAACACCCTTTAAAGGATCTAATAATGAAGAAACATTAGCCAACGTGGTGATGCAAAGTCTCAGATTCCCTGACAGCCCATTTGTTAGTTTCCAAGCGAGGGATCTCATAAGAGGGTTGTTGGTTAAAGAGCCTGAAAACCGTTTGGGGTCTGAGAAAGGGGCTGCAGAGATTAAACAGCATCCCTTCTTCGAGGGCCTTAATTGGGCCTTAATACGTTGTGCTATCCCACCAGAACTTCCAGACTTTTGTGAGTTTGGAGTCTCAGACATGACCTCACAGCCACAGGGCAAGGGTGGCAAGTATTTAGAGTGTAAAACAACTGGGGAGCAAGTGGAATTTGAGTTGTTTTGAAGAGACTGCTCTTTGGCAAGTGTGGCATTCTTTTTATGGATTCCCTTGTTTCTGGCTCTATGCTTCATGTGCCGAGCTGTAACAATTATGTAAGCCTATGTTGTAATTATAACAGGTAAAATGTGCCTTATTAGGTGTAGTAAGTTCAGGTTGTATGGCAACTTGAATAGTTGATAGTCGCAATATGAAAGAACATAAATTCCTGGGAACCAAAAAATGCGACACTTATTCAGTTCCCATGCTGGAGTAAATTAAAGAATTTTGTTACTGGTAAGAGTATCCCAAAAGTAAATAAAGCCAAACTAAAAGCACTTCATTGATTCTGGTGATGGCAACAGAAGAAATTTATAATGCTGATTCAAATAGTCATTTACACACCCCAATCCTTTACCCGATGATTGGGTTTGAATGGAAGGAAGGGAAATCCTTTTGCTTATACTAATATACTAATGTGTTTTATCTACTTCGCGTTGTGTGGAATGATGATTATTGCACTAATCCCGGGTCACCAAACAGCTTCCATTTGTATTCACTAACTCTCAAGAATTGCTATGAATCCAAGGGTATTTTGTGCCATTAATCAGGGATTAACTGGATATTTTTGATTGATGACGATTGAATTATGTTATAATTTACCATTTACCAAGTAAAACAAAAGGAAAAATAAAGCATAAAGGAATTGCCATCTGAGTAGAAGCAAGAAGGTTCCCTTAAGAACTAAAAATAAAATAAAAAAAATCTTGATGTCCAATATGAACATAAACAGTCTTTTTTATATTTTTATAACAAGAAAGGTTATACTGAAAGGTTATACTTAGTATCTATTTTTCTTATTATATTTTACTATCAAATTTTAACCGTTGATTTTCGTCAATCTAACGATTATAATTTATTGAAAATTAATAATTAATTAATAAATATGATTCTAAATTACAACCGTTAACACTTTTTTATTAAGTAGTATAGATAATAAACAATAAAAGAATAAATATATAAATTTAATTTTTTTTGTATATTTTTTTAAGGGTTTGTATTCATCATGTAACATGACACAAAAAAGTTTCCTACACACACAACATGTTATGGGGTCCGCATTTTTTGAAAAAAAAAAAAACTAAGGCACAAAAAACGAATATTTATAATATGACAATCACTTTTCGTACAATATAATTCTTATAAAACTCATTTTTTTATCTTCAAAAGTTTTAATTTATTTAAATTAATTTTAAAAATTATCAAATTGCTAAGAAATTTACTCCAACAAAATTGACAGGTTCTGGAATAAGTTGATCGTTTCAAGGCTATGTAGCACCGATACCGACACGGGACACGTGATACGATATGACACGACACTCCGACACGTCAATTCTAAAAAATGTTAGATTTCGACACGTTAGGACACGTTTTGATATTAAATAATATTTTTAATTTATGTAGTCTATATTATATTTAATATTCAATAATTTAACAAAAAAATGAATCTAAACTTATAATATTCATAAATTTTGCAAAGAAACATAAGATATCCCAAATATTTATATTAAACTCAATAAAATAGTAATCATAATCGAACGAATCTAATAGTTGGGACTAAAAACTCAACGCAACGCAACCTTTAAATTATTTTTGAATTTCTATAACGCGTGTTGGAGTATCGAGGAGTGTTGGAGTGTCCGAGAGTGTCAAAAAGTGTCGAACACAACACATCAGAGTTTTTGAAGTGTGTGCCTTCCTAGTTTCAACAAACAACCATTTTGTAAAATGGCCGAACAATATCGAAACCTTAGCAATACAAATAACATTTTGTTAAACGAGCAAGTATATTTTTATCCATAAATATATAAACCAGATTTTCTTCTGTTGTGCTTGTGCATACAACACGAAACAATGTCAAATTCCCCGAAAGCCAGGATAGTATGCTGCATAGGTGACACCCATGGCTACATCACGAAGCTCCAAAATCTGTGGTCCAATCTCGAAACCCAGATCGACCCATCACAATTCCAAACCGCCACCATCATCTTCTTGGGCGATTACTGCGACAGAGGCACTAACACACGCCAAGTCATCGATTTCCTCATCGCCTTGCCATCCCGCTACCCTCATCAGAACCATGTCTTCCTCTCCGGCAACCACGACCTCGCCTTCGCCGCCTTCCTCCGCCTCCTTCCGCCGCCTCCTGACGGCTCCGAGTTTTCCGATGGGTGGAAGGAGTACGAGGCGAGCGAGGAGAGAGAAGGGTGGTTCAAGGGTGATGGGTATGAGAATATGCACCTTCAAGGGAGAAGGTGGGGTGGTACCATCAAGGTTAAGTTTAACACTGCTAAAGGCACAGAGTATCAGGGTTCCATTTATGACGCTGGACCCACCTTTGAGTCCTATGGTGTTCCTCATGGTTCTGCTGGTTCGCTTCCTTGCTTTAGCTAATACATAATCTTCTTTTTATTTTTTCTTTTATTTTTTTTTAAATGTTTATTTTGGAATAAAATAATTTATTAATTTCCACATTTATACTCAATTTATGTCCATGGTGTTTGGATTTCGTAAATAATTATGTTATAACAGACTCAAGTACATGGTGAATCTTATGCATATATGTATGATATTAAGATTGGTCATTGGCCGAGTGAAGTTTAATCGCGTGCAGTTTATCGAGTGAAGTTTAAGTGAGAGGACTGTAAAACTAATACCTTAGGAGATGTTTGGTACAAGAAAAATTTTTATTTGTCTGGGAATCTCGATTTTCAAAAATATGATTTTTTCATTCAGTTTTAAGGTTTTGGATAAAGATATAGCGTAGAGCTCTATTATTGTGGTTGTTGGTGATAGTCTCCTGTCATTGGCTTTGGCCTGCTTGACAAAGGTGACAAATTCGATTTGAGTACGAAAAACAACCCCTTTGCAAAAATAAAAGAGTAAGGCCAGGTACAATCGACCTTATCTCTGCCTTTGCAAGTTGGGAGCCTTGTGCATTAGGATTTGCTTTTTTGCCCTTTCATTTTGAATCGTGACGAGCTAGGAGCTTTATAGTAAGCGATTGGATTTTTTTGAATAGTGGGATAGTATGTTTCTGTTGCAATATTCACTGTTTATGTTAACACTACTCTTTTTTTAATCTTGGTATTTTGATATGTTGAGGATATTTAGAATTTAGTGGAAATGGGGTGTTTTGATATGTTTAGGTTTTTGAGTAGAAATGAAGAAAATGATGAGGTGGTGTTGGTGGAATTTGCTTTGTTTTGTGGATTCTGCTAGCTGTGTTAGTATGTACGGTTTTATAAAACTTCAGGTTCTCTGTGAATGGCATAGTTGCATTATGTTTACATAGCGTAGGGGTTTTCATTTTTCAGTGCTATGAATAAAAAATGCTATTTACAAGTTTTGAAGTGTAACTAGCCCTTTCTTGAAATTTGAGTGTTGTTGTTTCCTGGACTGAAGGGGGAGTTCATTGCATGCAGATTTGGTTAAGGCAGTTCCTGATGAGCACAAGAAGTTTCTTGCTGATTTGGTTTGGGTCCATGAAGAGGTGGGGCTTACTCTCTTTGCCTCTTTGTGTCTCTAGTCATATCATATCACGTAGATTTATAAGTTTTCGTTTTCAAACTGATTTTAATCAAAGGAACAACTGCTGAAAGCTCTTCGGGTCATGTTTTACTAGGACGATGTCTTTGTGAACACTGATGGTGGTGTTAAATGCTGCAAGTTGATTGCTGTTCATGCTGGTTTGGAGAAAGAAGTAGATGTTAAAGAACAATTAAAATTGTTGAAAGCTCGAGATACTCGGGTGACTAAGGTGGAGGCTCTAAGTGGGAGAAAGAATGTTTGGGATATTCCAGAGGTGATAGCTGGCTGCTTAATATTCTAATTACTGCAACATCTTATGTTTTTAGATAGTATATATATATATATATATATATATATATATATATATATATATATATATATATATAGATCTTTTGACTCCGGTGTAAGATTAAGAAGTCTTATTTTCTGATCTCGGTCGCTGATTTTTGTCCATCTAACAACAATAATTTATTGAGTTATACCAATTAATTGGTTATTAATCTCAAATAAATTATAACTGTTAGATGGACGGAAATCAACAGCTGAGATGGAAAGTAAGACTTCCTAGTCTTATATTGAAGTCAAAAGATCCCTCCTTTATAGCTTTTTAAGAGTGAGCCTTGGAACAGGGATAAGGTTGCTTTTTGTGACCGGAAAGTCAGTGTATAATTGACTCTCACTCCTACCCTCGCATGTTGGGGAGCCTTGTGCACCCCGCTTGCTTTTGTAGTTTTTTCAAATAAATTAGCTTACTGTTTTCTTGTAGGAACTAAGGGCAAGTCCGACCATCATTGTTAGTGGTCACCATGGAAAACTCCATGTAGAAGGCTTAAGGATGATCATTGATGAAGGTGGTGGATATGAACATAAGCCAGTTGCTGCAATTGTCCTTCCTTCAATGAAGATTATTCGTGATACAGATGTATTGGCAAAATAGTTTCATATTTGTTATAGTTTTGTCAGTATACAGTTTAGCCTAAGCTATTAAGCTTTAGGTCTCATGAGCTTATAGAGATAAGAAAATATTTGTTGTTGTTGATCTGAAACACGAGAGCCACTGAGATGGTTTGTCCTCTTACTCTGATTGTCAATAAAGCATTTCACTTTTCTCTTCATCAATGCTATGGATTTAAATCCCTCACCTTTCAAATTGCAGTTATAAAAACATACTTTTTTATTTTTTTTTTAGATACGAACAGGTATCCGAAATCCTAATGAACCCGACTAATCCGATTTTAGGTTTGAGCCTCTTCACCTTTCTTCGAAATTGCTATTGTCAAGAATCAAACTCAATATTTTTTAGGCAGGTCAAATCCTAAGGTCTACCTGGGTCGCTACTAACAAAACAACTCTCGGGGTTTAAAAACATAGTTTTTCAAGAGTGTACATACACAATTTGTGCTTATGTTGTTTTTTTTTTCCCAAAAATTCTTGGCTGCCCAAAATATCAAAACAGTAGAAGTAATATTGTTATAAAATTAAATTGTATATTTACTCTCTTTTTTGTAGGTTTTCTACATATGTATATATATAGAGTAGTTTGATTGAAGGAAAAGGTTCTGGTAGATTTGTGTTTTTTGAACTGAGAATTATAACTTGTTTATAAAATGAATGAAAGATTATATAACAATCTCATTTAATTTCTTTTCTTGACATGTCTTGCAAAACGCAAAATACCTCCTTCATTGATTCTGAATAGACACAAAATGCATGGAATATAATAATAGATACCGATGTACCAAAAATGAAATTTTTTTTTGAGTAAATTACAAATTACACTTTTATTGTTCAGTAATTCTCAGCTTTTGTATGCTAATGATGTACAAAAGTAGAACATGATCCCAAATCAAGTATTAATAAAGCATCGCTCTTTTTCTTTTTTTAAATATTTCAATCGACTTATTTTTGTGACTAGTTTGATTCGGAACAAGTTTTGAAATTAAGACTTTAAATCTTTTTCTAAAAATAATTCTGAAAAGAATTTAATACACGTTTCCACTTTAATTGCTCAATTTTTTGGTACCAAGTGAGTATGCAGTTTTTGTGCCAGTTAATTGGATTCATTGATCCAGTCGAAGGTTACAAAAACAGAACTGGACTGGTGGGCCAGTGATCCACATGCTTATTTTTTTTTTTTTCATAGCATAAATTGGTTAAAAAAAGAAAGAATGAAAAGGTTGTTTGAAAAAGATTGGTCTTGTTGTCTTTATCTTGCTTAAGCCAGAGTGAAATTGGGGCAACATCACGGATATTTTTTATGCACTTATTAATGGACGGTGCAATGCTACGGAAAAGAAAGATAATTCACAGCATATGAAAGGTCATTATCGTACAAAACATGTCATAGATATTTTTCTTCCCCATCAATACCATTCATAATAGGAACTTTCTACTATATTGATCGAAAAGGGAGTCACATTAAATAATGAGTTTTTGCAGAGTACGCGCTTAATAAGAAACAATACGTAATTTCCAAAAGAGAAATTTTTTTAACGTGACAGGGTTTTTTTTTTAAAATGATGAAAAGTTTTTCAAATATAAAAAAATGTATCCAATTAGATAGATTTGATGCACCTAAGATATTTTCATATAATTCAACTAGTGGCTTACATAAAACGATGATATAGTAGATTTGATGCTTTTTGGGATTTGCTTAATTCACCTCTTTTGGTCTCTTTTAGAATTGATAAAATATAGGCACAAAACAAGTGAGTAAGTGGGCGTAAGAATATGTATTTGATCTTTTTTTAATATTACTTTTGAAATAAATTTAAAGTCTTAATATCAGGATTCGTCCTGAATCAAACTAATCGCGAAACAATGAATTAATTGGAATATTTCAAAAATATTTTTTGACAAAATGGGTTGAACTTAAAAGGAGTATTTGGTAGAAGAAATTTTTTTAAAATCATGAGAAACTGAGATTGAGAATTTGATTTAATCACGTTTGGTATGAGGATTGTAAATTTTTTTCTGAGAAAGTCAGATTCTCGGGATTCATGTTTATGAAAAAAAATTCTCTATATCATCAAATGAGTGGTATTTTGAGAATCTCATGAGATAAGAATATTTGATAATTTTTTTGGGACATAATTAACCTCAATCTACATTTCCAACAATATTTTACAATCAATCACACATAATATCAAGAAAATTAATCAAACATTCCCGTGATACCAAATAACTTTTTATAACATTCTCGAAAAACTCACTTTTTCATCATATTTTCAAAAAATTGTGATTTTCAAATAATTTTTTTTCCTCTACCAAATACCCTCTAACAGGCCAATTCGCCAAAATGGGGTACGGCTAATTATATAATTTAATCTGCCAACCTAACACAACTCTCACTATGTAGGTGGATTAAAGCATGTTAGAGATGGGTCAATCCGTGGGTCAAATGTGTTTTTTTTTTTCACTTATTATCCTCATATATATCATGTGCTTGTCTACTCTTATGTTATAAAAAAGAGCATATATTATGCTAAGACAAAAAATAATGGGGTTTACCACTAAAAAAAAAGAAAAAAGAGAAAATAATAACATAATTATCGAAGTGTCTATGACATAAGATAATATTTTTATACAGTATGAGATTATTATTTCCCATATACCATATTTTTTTTTAACAACATATTCATAATTTTAATGTCATGTATATTATAGATGACACATTTGATTTTATATTTGAAAATGTTGTAGTTTTATGACAAAATTGCAATATATACGGTTGTTAGTGGTTGGTTCACTGTCATTATAACTTATCATTACAAATTAATGTTGAACTAAACAAAATAAAAAGACAAGCATTTCCATGCAAAATATTATTATTAAAGTAATTTTGCAATAATAATAATTTTAAGAATTTATACACCTATAAACTTTTCATTTAATCTCACATATCATTAAATAACATGTTAATCCCAATATAACTTCTTTATATTTTTTAATATTAAAATACACACTAGGAAAAAGTAATTTTTTTCTTATGCAAGCTGCATTTATATTTTCTATCTACTCACCAATAACATGTCAACCTATTCCTATACCTATACCTATATCAGTTTTAGCGAGTTGAAAATGGGGCGGAATGAATTAACATATTTTGCCAGCTCTACACTTTGTTTTCAGCCTAGCATGCTTTCTTCGGGCAAAATCAATGGCTTTTCTTTACAAATATTTAAATGATAAATATTGTTAAAAATTATTTCAAATCAAGATTTTGTACTTAAGCAACCTTTATCGTTGAGTTAATCAATTTAGCAAGGGAAGTATCGATTTCTTATTTATAATCTAATCATCTCTGAGTCAAAACGAGAGAGAACGGACACATACCCCGCAATGGCCAAAACTCGCGTCATAACTCAAAAGTACCTTTCTCCAATGTCCCTTTCCTCTAGCCTAGGGTACACAACTCAACACACATGACAGAAGCAAGGAAAACAAAAAAACGAAAAGAAAAGAGAGAGAAACAGATCCTTGGAAGGAAAAAAACAAAAAAAAGTTGGCGCATAAGACCATAATTGTTTGATAAAAATATTTATCCTTTTAAATGACACAATTTATATTTTTTCACTCTCACAAAGAGGTGAGACCCACACCTTTATTTTTTTTTTGTTAACTCTCTCTCCTTTATCTATCTCTTTCTCTCTCTTAAAATGACACAATTTTACGTCCTTCAAAATGACACACACTTTTTCCTAATTGTTTTTAGGCTACAAGTAAAAATTAAGGAAAAAATGTGTGTCATTTTAAAGAGATAAAATTGTGTCATTTTAAGAGAGAGAAAGAGATAGATAAACGAAGAGAGATAGCTGACAAAAAAATAAAGGTGTGAGTCCCACCTCTTTGTGAGAGTGAAATGATATAAGTTGTAGGGGTGTTCGCGGTCTGGATTGGATCGATATAATCATCCGATTCAATCCTTTCGATTTGATCATATAATCATCCATTCGGTTTGGATTTTTTTTCAAATCCGATCTTGGATTGGATCGGTTTTCGGTTTTTTGAAAATCCTAAAATTTATTTCAGTATTATTGTGCAAATAACATATTTTGTATATATTGGCTTTGTAAATTTTTTTTTTTTTGAAATACAAAAGTATTAGTATACTATAATATAGTTTTTTTTGCCAATGAGATATGAAGCTCTACAAAAATAAAATTTTGTTGATGAGATGTGACTAGATATTTTTTTGCGTTTAGTTGATGAGTTAATGGGTCTTGAGTTTAGAATTTTTTGGGCTATGATTGGGGAAAAACCTAAGTAGATAGAGGGAAATTAATATATTGAATCAGTTTGGATTGGATCGGTTTTCATCAACCCATCCAAAAATCGATCCAATACAATTAAAATTTGCGGGGTTTTTTCAGTTTTCGGTTTTTTGGTTTATTCGGTTATCGGTTTTTCAGTTCGGTCACCACAGTTTAAATCGGTTTGAATCGGTTGATGAACACCCCTAATAAGTTGTGTCATCTTAAAGGATAAACAATTTTTCCAAAAATTAAACACATAATTTTATATAATTTATCAAAATCCATCATCATTAAATTAAGCTTGATGGCTTACAACCATAACTTTATAAACATAACCAACCAAACATTTTGCCACGTGGCAGAGTATTGTTAGTTGTCCGCAATCCCAATCACCATGCTAACTCTTGTCAGCACACGGACGTAGCAACACCACTTGCAGTTCTCACATATCAAGGTGTACTAAAATCTCTCCGATATTTTTTATTCCTCTTCAGCAACCCAACTCAAACTCATTAAGTTGGCACCGTTAACATTTATTCAGTGTCACTCATAACATCCTAGGAAACAAGAACAAACCCTAGGAAACAAGAACAAACAAACATGGTTTATAGTACAATTTCAGGTGTACGGTTCCCTGCTGTTCCTTTCCTGCACAAGTCTCCGAGCTTCCACGGCGATCGAAGGACTTCAACTCTCTACTTTCTTCTCAACAATGATTCCTTCTCTCTGCGTAATCCACTTTCCCTCATTCTCTTCGCTGTTAATGCTTTTTTACTTTTACCGTTTCGTTTCATCATCGTTTCACTTATAGAAAGTAGAGCTTGCTTATGAGAAGTGGAAACTTGTTGAGTTGGTTTTTTGAATATTATTACTCGGTTGATGGATTACTCAAGAGTACGATTAGAGCATGATAAAACCACATGTGCGGCAAAAAAGTTTCTACCAAATTTTAACACAATTGTGCATCACGAACTCGAATTCGAGACAACTAGTTAAGCTGGAATAATCTCTTACCAGATGATCCACGTGTTTGGTGGTAAGAAAATTGTTGTTGAGTTGGTTTTAATTCCAACGACTTTGATTGTTTGTTCAATTTTTAAGAGTAACGACTTTGAGAGGCTAAAACGCCTTTGAAAGGCTTAGATATGTTTGTTTCGTTTATAGCACATTGTGTCTTCTATATAGTTTCTGCTTGGAAACTGGTATTGGCAATTAACTGAGTAACTATAGAATATACATCACATGATTCTGTTAATTTTGTAGTTGAATTCTGTTCCTTTCCCCACCCTCCTTTATTGTTTCTTGAGAATATAAGATTGAATCTAAATCATTATAAGGTTTGATGATTAAAGGGAAATAGTCTGCAATTGGAGGGGCAATGATTGGTAGTAGACCATTATTAACATTTTGAAATCAGCATCAGTTGATTTGTGAAAATGGGCTGTAGGTATCGTATTTAATGATTGATCAGTTTGAATACATGAACCTAACATTCAATCTTTTTAATTAGGCTGCTGTAACATAAAATTCAATCTAATTTGTATATAAAATTAGTAATTCTGTGTGATTGGCTTGTAAACACCTTACTGATAGTTTTTACTTGATGACTTTATGTAGGGAAGACCCTTGCTGGAAAATTTTCCCATGATTCTGATTCCTCATCTTTTGTGGTTGCTGCATCTGATAAAGTACTTATTCCTGAAGGTCAAGATGACACTTCATCCTTGACAGAACAAGTTGAAAATCCTGATATGATCTTGGAGGATCCACAGGTGCCCTTGTCCTTCTCCATGTGGCTTGTATTTTTATAATTCCTTTTGCATGCTTGTTAAGTTGTTGAATTCCTTTCTTTCAATTGGAATTGTGGTTTTCATGTCATATACATTCAAAGAATGTATAAACTTTTGTCGCACTTTTGTTGCAAAAGGGTGCATTTTAGTTTAATTTTGGCATAATTAATCCATTATTCCACTCTTATTTATCAAATTAGAGTTCTTTTACGGTGAGAGTGGTTTAATTTCTTATTCTACTGTCCCTCAAAGATTGAAAAATACGTGTTGATCAGCATTTCTAACTCTATCAGAAGAACTATAGTACATTTGAATTCTGTTCACATCTATTATTCTGATAAACATAGGGATTCCTCCTTTTGTCCTGAGTTGTCCTTATAAAAGTTATATTATTCTATAGATTTTATCTGATCCAATATCAGTTAGAAAAAATTATGAATTTTGAAGGAAATGGGCATGTTGCAACTTGCAATTAGTCAAGATTGTTACTTGCAAATCACTGTTTTTTGGCTAGATATGTAGACTCATAATACTCGTAATTGTTTAATAATATTTTGGACTTGAATACAGTGCACTTTTTGTTTGTAGGCTGAAGTGTACTGGAATTACATAATTCAATTATAGATAGGAAAATGAGGGTTTTGTATTGATTCTATTGAATTCAGTTATCAATAATACATTCGAACTAGCCAGCAACCTGTACTCACATGTAAATTAGAAGTAAAGACACTAAGTATCTAATGAACTGGATTCTTGGAACTTGGAAGCATTTTATATTAAAGTGGGACCATGAACGTATTTTGGTAATTTTTTTATGATGTGGATTGATGGAAAAAAAAAAATACAGAAGACTGTTTAAGGTGCATCCACAAAGATTGTCTTAAATTATAGGGAAGTAATCACTTGCATGCCTATTAGTATTGTCATTAATCAAAGCTTATGTAATATTAGAGCTATTTGGACTAAATTACTGTTATTTTGCTGGTGGTCAAACCTGATTTTCTTGGCCGTCTACTGTAGGCACCACTGTTTTCTTTTTTTCCTCCTCTATTTCCGTAGGTAGAAATCCTTCAATTACATTTGGTTCACTATTTTTGTTTGTAACTTCTGTTCATTTGTTATTATTAGTCGCAAAGGGCAAAGGCTTTCTTTGAAATCTTAAATTTCTTTAAGTGCTCATTGCTGAATGTATATTTTAGGCTCTTCAAAACTTAGGGGATTTAACCATGAAAGATGAGAATAAATACGATGACATCGAAGCAGGTAGCAGTTACAGAGAAGTTGAAGATAAGCATGGTTCTGTTTTGTCATCACTTGTAGAAGTTAATGCCAATGCTGATGCTGAGAAGACATCAGTGTCTACAGACAGGAAAGTAAAACTAGAAGGAGATGAAGTTAAACCTAAGATCATTCCCCAACCTGGCTCTGGGCAGAAAATATATGAAATTGATCCACTTTTGCAAGCTTACCGTGAGCATCTTGATTTCCGGTAAGCTAACCTTTTAAATTCATCTTCTTAACGTAAGTGAAATAATTACCTGAATTTATAAATCAAATAGGAATTGGAAGGTTTTTATAATGTATTTGTAATTGTCATTTAGTTGATAAGTTCATATATCTATGCTATCATATGAAAAAATAATTGACAATCTGTTGCTCATATGTGCAGCTATTGCATAGGAGGCATTATAATGCTTTGAATCAAGTTGCTCACTCTTTGTTAATTCCCTTGCAGAGACCTCTGTTGTTTATATTAATAAGTGTGTGCCATGTTTAATAAGATTTTTACGATTCATTACATCTTGCTATAGCTTCATATTTTAAAAGTATTTTGCACTATAAGGTAACTGGCTGCTTTCTTTGCTATATGTTCTGTTATTATCTTTTGTTTTTATTTTTTCTCCCTACAGCAATATATTGATTAGGTTTTTCGTTAAGTAATATTTTCAAAGAATAAATTTTTCGATTCCATGAGCAATGTAATTGGTTCAACCAGAATACCATTAGAATGGTTTAATATAACAAACTGCCATGGGAAACCATGATAAATAAAAAGGTAACATTTTCTGTCTATTGGAATTCCTTTTTCATGTTGGTGTACTTACTATTTCACTGTGCCACCCCAGGATTAGTAATTAGTTCTCTTAGCACAAAGACCCAGGTGGTATCATTGATTAAAATTTTTATTCTCTCTTCTTTCTTTCCTACCTAAATCCCAATAATTTTAACATAGTATGTATCCAACTCGAGCATAGTTTCTCCCTTCTATTGTGTTTAGTTCATGGAACTCGATTACCACGAAACTATATTGTATTTTTGTTTGCTCTCTATCTCTCCTTTGAGACTTTTTCCGTATTAAGTTTTAATCTTCTGCTCTTGTTTCCCTAGACATTGTTGCTATTGTTCCAGCTTTCTTTTTTACGTATATTGGCTTCATTGTAACCTGTCTTTCTGTAGATTGGCTCCGCTTCCGGCTGTTTTTTAGCCTAGGTTGTCAGTAGCGGCCCACAGCGCCGCTAAACCGCTACTGTAGCGGGTAGCGGCGGTCGGCCGCTACAAACCGCGATGCTACGTGACATTGGCCGTAGCAGAAGGTAGCGGCGTAGCGTAGCTACAATACTGCTACCCGCTACACCGCTACACTACTCCCATGTTGGAATTTGATGGAGAATCCGAAAATGATGATGATTTTCTTCATTAGTTCACTTCTTGTACTTGACTATTTGACAATTTTATTGTTCATTTTTGTTTAGTTTTGTATCTTTCCTTTATGTTCCTTGTATTTGACATTGATTGTGGAATTATGTGTTTGATTTTGTGTGACTTCTTATATTTGAGCATTAATACTAAAAGCGGTATTGCCTCGTTTCTTGACTATTACTAATGGAAAGATACCGAGAAAAGAAGAAGGACTTGCATATGGTGTTCATAGACCTTGAGAAAGCATACGATAGGGTTCCAAGGAAAGTTTTATGGTGGGTCCTGGAGAAGAAAAAGGTTCCATTAAAGTATGTAAAGGCAATCAAGGATATGTATGATGGGGCTACTACATGTGTAAAAGCTTGTAACGGATCATCAAGTTATTTTCCTATCACGGTAGGTGTACACCAAGGGTCGGCTCTAAGTCCTTACCTCTTTGCCTTAGTTATGGATGAACTAACAAAAGATATTCAAGAGGAAGTGCCATGGTGTATGCTTTTTGCAGACGATATTGTGCTTATTGATGAGAGCAAGGAGGGTGTTAATAGAAAACTTGAATTGTGGAGAAGCACATTGGAATCCAGAGGATTCACATTAAGTCGAAGCAAGACTGAGTATCTGAAGTGTGAGTTTTCTCTGGTACAAGATGAGGACCAAGAACCTGTGCATCTAAATGGTCAAGAGGTACCCAAAAAAAATGCTTTTAAATACATGGGCTCCATTTTACAAAACGGTGGAGAGATTGATGAGGATGTAAATCACAGAATCAGAGCAGGGTGGATGAAATGGCGTAGTGCATCTGCATTTTTGTGTGACCGCAAAATTCCCCTGAAGTTAAAAGAAAAATTCTATAAAACGGCAGTACGACCGGCAATGCTATATGGAGCGGAATGCTGGCCAGCACATAGGCAACATGAGCATAAGATAGGAGTAGCAGAGATGAGGATGTTAAGGTGGATGTGTGGTTACACAAGGATGGATAAGATAAGAAATGAAGATATTCGACGAAAGGTCGGAGTAGTACCGGTAGCCGAGAAGATGAGAGAACATAGATTGAGGTGGTTTGGGCACGTGATGAGAAGACCCATGGATGCTCCTGTAAGAACAGAAGTTTGTTACCAAAAGCTAAACACAAAAAGAGGCAGAGGTAGGCCGAAGCTTACTTGGGGGAAAGTAGTAAAACAAGATTTAATGGAGTGGGATATAGATTGGCGGACAGTATGTCTTAGAAAGGAATGGAGAAAAGCTATAAGTATGGTGGAGGATTAGACCCGCTGTTATTCCTATGTTCCAGATGGTCCCTTTTTAGTCCTTTTCCCCTTCATTTCCCCCACTTCTTCTTGTCCCTTTCTTTTTTACTTTTATTTATTTATATATACATATATTTTTATTTTATTTTATTATTTTATTTGTGTATTTTTATTTATTTATTAATTTATTAATTTTTTTTTTATTTTTTTTATTTTTTTATTTTTATTTTTATTTTTTTTTTACTTTTTTTTCAACCGTTTTGTATCTTTCATGTGGGTTCATCTACCACCGACCCCAATTAATTTGGGATAAAGGTGTTGTTGATGTTGATGTTGATGATGTGGAATTAATACTTCACTGTAGCGGCAATACCGCTACCCGCTACACTGCTATACCATTTTCGGGGTCGGCCGCTAACTGCTACTGACAACTATGTTTTCAGCATATTGGCCCCTCTCTAGTTGTCTTTCCACATATAGCCTTTGTTTTAGCCTGTCTTTCCTAATATTGGCTCACTCCTAAATATAATCTGGCCTCCATCTCTAGTCCCAAAATCATTCTAGTCTCCTTCTCCAATCCTAGATGCAATTTGGCCTCTATCTCTGGTCCTAGTGTAGTCCTAGGTGCAGTCTCCATCTCCAGTCCCACATGTAATCTGACCTTGTCTCCTACCATTGGTTTATATTTTTACTTTATTTTCATTTTGTATGTTTAATTGTAATAAGCTTTAGCTTGAGGGAGGAGTGTTAGAATATCTAAAAGCACTTTTTTTTTTTTATAAAAAAAAGCAGCTTTTGAAATGGGAGAAGCCTTCTATTAGTATAAATAAAGCTTAGTACTTTGTCTCTTGTATCACATCTTATAACATCTGTTCACGTCATTATAGAATATTATTCAGAATTTTTGTTCTCTCTCTTCCTTTTCCCCTTCCTAAATTCCTATTGGTTTTAACAATAATGAATCTGAATCCCTCTCCCTTCTATGCCTCCTATTATTTAAGCTAAGCTCCCTCCATTCCAACTATAACCACTTAACTAATTCTATAGCTTCCTAACTTCCTACGTCCTATCACCACGAGGGAGCAACTTGACAAAGTTGACAACATATGGTGGCACAATTATTTTGACCCAAACCACAAAGGGGTAATTGAATTTTATCTATTTTTTTTAAGGGATTATTGTTTCTCATGTTATAGGAGATAATTTTATCTCCTATGCACACATGAAAGTATGTAGGACTCATGTTTTCTTTTTTCTCTCTTCTTTTCACATGGCCCCACACACTTTTATGTGTGTAGTTATCTCCTATAACATGAGAAACATTAATCCCTATTTTTAATTATCATTTCTTAATTACTTGTAAAAATAATTTCATATGATGGATATGCCACTGATATTTAATCCAAAAATAATAAATTAATAATTCAATTTTCTGCTTTTTATAGATTTAGTTTATTAACATATTTTTAAGTATTTTATTTTATATTTTCCAAATTCTTACCTGCTTTGCCATACTTAACATGCTGTTAGCAACATGAAACCTGATTTTTTTAAATACATTTTTCTCTTTCAGTTATGGACAATACAAAAAATTGCGCGAGGAAATTGACAAGTATGAAGGTGGCCTGGATGCTTTTTCTCGTGGTTATGAAAAATTTGGCTTTACACGCAGGTATATATTAATTTTACTGGTTGATGCTCATGTATATATTCAACTTTTTCATTTTCATGAAGTTACTCTGCATTCATAAGGTGATTAATAGTAAGTATTATCTGTATATTGCCTAGATTCCAAGTCCATAACCATTCAAAAGATAAAGCTATCATAATTATTTAATCCAAATGAGGAACTTTTTCATATTTTAATCGAGTTTAACTCTCTTTTTTTCCAGTGCTACAGGCATTACTTACAGGGAGTGGGCACCTGGAGCTAGAGTACTTCATCTCAAATTCTTAGCTTTTGATATTAAAATTGTTTATGGTTTTATGGTTCAAATTCTTTTATAGTATTTGTATTCTTTAAGCACAATCTTTGACAGCAGTGCAGAGATGCTCTGCTTCATTATCCATTCATGTGAGACCAGTGTTGCAGTTTTTGAGTGCATCAATCATTGTTTCTTATAACTACTACAATCTTTTCATATATCTTCGAGATAAGAGATTCAATGGATTTCTCTGAGTTGCTTGATGAATTATGCTCTCTTTCAAACTTCTTAATTTATACAGACATTCATATATTTATTTGTTTGAGCTACGGATTTAGCCTTACATATGATTACTATTAAAGTGTCAATATAATGCATCAATGATAAATTGCCAACATCTAAAATTAACTGGTGGAGTAGATATGTTCATTGGGTAGTAGAAATGATAAAAACATTCTATTGGAAACATCAAATTCAGGATCTCCCTTGGGAGACATTATATATATATATATATATATATATATATATATATATATATATATATATATATATATATTTTATTGTTGGATACTTTTTCAGTCCGCAGCGTTAATCGGAGACTTCAATAATTGGGACCCAAATGCAGATGTGATGACTCGGGTATGTTACCATTATTTGGCCTTTAAAGTTTATATTTATGAAATTTAGGATGTTTCATTTCACTAAAAAATTGATATATGCAAATGAGTGCTGGTTGTAGCATGGATCAATCAACTTCTGTTTTCGTCTTTATACTTTTTCCTATTTGTTTGATCTATAATCTAGCTTAGATGCCTCCTCTTTCCCCCTTTTTCTGTTCCTATTTATTCTTTGTGTCAAATTAAGTTTGTTCCATGTCCTTCCCAGTTCTACAGGGACCATTTACATGCTGTAGGGACTAGCCTTCGTTAGGGTTATATGAATTTGTCTGAGATACACAGGTTGATGTGATGAGGGAAGATTAATGGCAAAATATGACTTGGTGATGATTAGAATAATGTGAGATAATTATCAGGCATGAGGGTAGTATTGGAATTAAATTTATTAACTTTGCTCTGAACACGGGTTTTGCAATTAGGATATCTGTCCTTTTTTATCAACTCTTCTATAACAGTGTCATAAAATTTATTAGGATTAACAATTTGAACTCTAAATACCTGTAAGATTAAGAATTATTTACTGTATCCCATAATGATTTGGTAGTTATTCTATTATGGTTCATGCTTGGTTTGCTATATGCTTGCAAATGCTTTTAAAACCATTCATGTGCATCCACTAATACCTAAGTTTAGGAGAATTTTTTCTTGATATGGTAACAAAGTATCTGTGATGTGGTTAGGAGTTTGCCAATCCATTCTTCTAATCAAATTATGAGGGCTTGTGCCCCGCCCTTCAAGCTCGAAGCGTTTTTGTGTGGGGGTGTGTTAGAGATATAAAACCATTCACATGGCTCCACTTAACATCATAAGCTTTTGCAGTAGTTGATTCTTCAATCTTGACAATAGTAATAGAGTTGCAGTCAATACCCATTTTACAATCATAAAATTGTCTTTAAAATGCTTAATTCAGAATTCAAAGAGTTGTTTATAGAAAATAATGTATTAGGTAATGTATAGGAGTTGAAAAAGAGATCTTATTGATAAAACTGTGTGTTACATTTGTACAATTGCTCTCTATTTAAAGAGACTAAATAACCTAATGGGCTAAGCCCAAAGAAGATTCTCAAATGGAAATAAATAAATAAAGAAATAAAGAAATATAATTATTTACAACACTTCCCCTCAAGCTGAAGAATTATCATTCCTAGCTTGCTAGTTAGCTCTTGAAACCTTTCTGAGGGAAGTCTCTTTGTCAGAATATTAGCTAATTGACGTCCAGAAGGGATGTATGGAGTGGTGATCAACCCGCTATCAAGCTTCTCTTTGATAAAATGGCGATCGACCTCAATGTGCTTAGTCCGATCATGTTAAACTGGATTATGAGCTAATACAAATGGCGGACTTATTATCACAAAACAGCTTCATAGGTCCTTCACATCTTATTTTAAGATCACCAAGTATAATTCTCAACCACAATAATTCACAAACGCCTTGAGCCATAGCTTGAAATTCAGCATCAACACTCGATCTGGCAACCACGTCCTGCTTCTTACTCCTCCATGTCACTAGGTTACCATAAAGAAACATGCAATAACCAGTGGTAGATCGAGGATCAGTTACGGATCCAACATAATCAACATCGGTATAAACTTCTAAAGAGAGATTGCCATTACGCCGGAACAACAGTCCTTTACCAGCAGTAACTTTAAGATACTGAAGAATTCTCTCCACTGCCTGCATGTGTTTTTCTTTTAAATTATGCATGAACTAACTTACAATACTGACAACATAAGCAATATCTGGTCTAGTATGAGCCAAATATATCAATCTCCCAACTAACCGCTGATAGTGTCCTTTATCAACTGGAGGACTCTTCTCTTCATAACCCATATTGTGATTCTGCTCAATAGGAGTATTAGAGGGTTTACACCCAAGTTTTCCCGCTTCTTTAAGAAGATCAAGGACATATTTCCTCTGGCTGATAAAAATTCTTTCTTTTGAATGAGCTACCTCTATCCCTAGGAAATATTTCAATGTCCCAAGATCTTTAATTTCAAACTCGGAGGCTAGCCGTTCTTGTAGAAAATGTTTCTCCGTAATATCATTACCTGTTATAATAATATCATCAATATATACAAGGAGCACAGTTAGCTTCCCATCTTGGGAGTGCTTGAAGAATAGTGTATGATCTTCTTGACTCTATTTATATCTTAAGGCTAGCATAACCTTAGTAAATCTCCCAAACCAGGCACGAGGAGACTGTTTCAATCCATACAAGTCCTTTTTTAACTTGCAAACTTTATTTCCTCTATCCATAGAGCCAAAGCCAGGTGGGATTTCCATGTGGACTTCTTCTTCTAACTCACCATTAAGGAAAGCATTCTTCACATCAAATTGATTCATATTCCAGTTGTAATGGGCAGCAAGGGACAACAAAGCTCTCACAATATTCATCTTTGCAACTGGGGCAAAAGTTTCTTCATAATCAATGCCATAGGTCTAAGTGACCCTTGGCAACTAACCGAGCCTTATATCTCTCAAGAGTACCATCAGAATTTTATTTCAAGGCATAAACCTATCTGCACCCTACTACTTTCTTTCCATCAAGTCTATCAATAACCTCCCATGTTTTATTTTTCTCCAAGGCATTCATCTCATCTTGCATGACTCAAGCCCAATTCTTATCTTTTAATGCTTCATGTATTGATTTTGGGATTGAGATAGAATCTAGTGCTGAAATAAAGCTTTTGTGCTGCACATAAAGGTTAGTAAAAGAGAGGAAATGAGAGATAGGGTGATGGGTACAAGATCTTTTCTCTTTTCTTAGGGCAATAGGTAAATCATCAGAGGTACTGGGTAAGCTATCAGAAGCAACAGGTAAATCATTAGATGCAATAATATTAGGTTCAGAAACAGGAGAAGTAATAATATTAGGATCAGAAACAAGAGATTAAGGACTTACTAGTGGTTCAGACGATTGAGGTTGCTGGTGAAGCAGTGTGGGCTGCTTTCTCCTGTGATATACCAACTCAGGTGTCACAATCCTCCTTGTTTTCAGTGTATCAGATGGGTCAGACACAGAAGAATAAGAAACAAGAGGAAGAGGTGTAGGAGAAGACATGGAAGGTCTAGACTCAAAAATAGAAGGTGATGAATCTACTGAAGAACTGCTCTCCCCCTGAAGATGAGGACTTGGGAAAAAGGACTCAGATTCATGATATGTGATATCCATTGAGACAAAGAATTTTCAACTAGCAGGTTGATAACACTTGTAGCCTTTCTTATAAGGGGCATAACCAAGGAAGATACATTTGAGAGCCCTAGGATCCAACTTACTGCGAAGATGTTTATGAACGTGGACAAAGACAACGCACCCAAACACTAGTGGCTGAAGACTCTGCATAGAGTGAACAGAGTGAAAGAATGAAGTCATTGAGTGAATAAGACTTACATTGTCAAGGACCCGAGAAGGCAAGCGATTGATCAAGAAAGCTGCAGTAAGAATGCCATCTCCCTAATAGCACTTGGGTGCATGATTCTGAAAAAGTAAGGCACGAGCAACTTCAAGAAGATGACGATTCTTCCTCTCAGCAACTCCATTTTGTTGAGGAGTGTCCACACAAGTAAGTTCTTGAATCATGCCCTGATCTTGGATGAATTTGGAAATACGCTGATTGACATATTCAGTACCATTGTCGGACCTTAGTCTTTTAATTCTTTTACCAAATTGGGTCTCAATCATTTTATAAAATTGAAAGAATAACTGTGGAACCTCAGATTTTTCATGCATTAAATAAACCCAAGTTACACGAATGCAATCATCAATGAAAGAAACAAACTATTTATTACCAGAAGCATGAGGAACTTTAGAAGGACTCCAAATATCAGAATGAACAAGATCAAAAGGCTCAATACTTTTAATGGTACTAGAAGGAAAAGAGACACGATTGTGTTTAGCAAACTCACAAACATCTCAATGAAAATACTCAACAGACTTTGACAAAAATAATGATGCAAATAAAGACTTAAGCAAATGAAATGGAGGATGCCCCAAGTGTTTATGGTGGAGCCAAATCAAAGAGTCGGCAGTAGACTGAGATTGAGTCAATAGGGTGTGATCTTTAGCGTACTTTGCAAAAGATTCTGGCACAAGATAGTACAACCCACTGTGCTCCTTAGCACACCCAATCGTCTTCCCCGTGGCGAGATCCGGAAAAACACAGTGAGTAGGGAAGAAAGTTACAGTGCAATTCAAATCTTTGGTAATTTTATGGATAGAAAGAATATCAGTGGAGAGTTTGGGAACATAAAGAACATTTTGGAGATGTAAGGAAGGCTGTAAATATATGTTACCAAAACCCGCAAGTGATGTGTGTGAGCCATTAGCTACGGCTATTGTATGGGTGCCAATATTAGGGTTATAAGAAAGAAAGGAGTCAGTAAAACAAGCCATATGATCAATAGCACAAGAATCGATAATCCAAGAATGTTTAAAATCAGTACAAGAAGAAAAGAATGAGTAGTGGAGCTCATACCAGTCATAGCCAAAGTACTAGTTTTAGATGGCTTACTCAAAGAATCAAGCATAGTCCAATCTGCTCCAACTCATCTCGGCGAACAGAAATAAATTCCGAAGATGCACCATTTGAACTCGCCATAATGTTGAGGTGAAAATATCACAAACGCAAATCCAAATGATGTCTGACCGAAGAGAAAACACAAATCTGGAAAGAGGAGACAAAATTGAGCAGTTCTGTCTTGGAGCATTTTTTTTTGGCGTGAACAGTACATCATGAACAGTGCACATGAACAGTACCGATGAAAAGTCACGTGAACAGTTACCCCCCCCGGTGGATGAACAGTGCGCACAGTGAACATTGCCGATGAACAGTACCGCGGTAGAAAAAGAGTCAAACAAAGATCCTCTCGGTCCAAAAGGTCCTTGGAAAAAAATTCCGGTTGTGGCTTGATGGCGGTGAGAGGCAAACAAATATGGTTCCGCTTTGAAGGCAGCAGTCACGGAAGTAGAGCCCTTAGAATCGAGTGCTCTGATACCAAGTTGAAAGAGAGATAATCTTATTGATAAAACTGTGTGTTACATCTGTACAATTGCTCTCTATTTAAAGAGATTAAATAATCTAATGGGCTTAGCCCAAAGAAGATTCTAGAATGGAAATAAAGAAATACAATTATTTACAACAATAGGTAATAAATATTGATGGTATTTGGATAATTAGTATATTGAGGATTCAGTAAAATCCTTATAGGAATACCATTCATGTGGCTTCACCTAATCTCTTAAGTTTTCGGGATAGTTGATTCATGATATGTTATCATAACTTTTATGACCAAGTGGTAATGAGTTTGATCCTTACTACGTTCATTCTTCTAAATAAAATGAATTTTCAGCACAAGGTATAGATGAGCTTGAGTATTATCCACGCTTTAAGCCCAAAGTGTTTTTATGTGAGGGGGCATGTTAAATATAAATACCATTTATATGGCTTCACCTAACAGTTTAAGTTGGTGGGATAGTTGTTTCTTGACAAAGGTTATTTTTAAAAAAAAAAAGTATGAAGGAAAAAGTATGTATAGGCTCAATACACTTTCATGACCAAATAGGTTTAGCTAGTGACTTCCTGTGGTTCTCTTGCTGAAATCTTTAACATGACCAGAGACAATTTTGTTGTTTTATTTTAAACATTTTTTTGCTTTCTTAAATTTTCAATCCTAATGATGTGGGATGACTTGAGTTTTGACTTGTCTTACATTTGTCTATCGGGGGACTTGGTGAGTAGACATATGAAGATGGTCAAACATTTCTTTATAGAAAAGTCAAAACTTTTAATTTTGAATAAAAGGTTATTGAAGGACAACGTGCAAGAAACTTGGGAGGACTGAAAAAAACTGCATGGTGTGGCACAGGGTAATGGTTGATCGATTTATCTATCTTTTGTAATATTCTTTGGAATCAGAGATCTCTTGTTACATTTGGTATATGTGTAAAGAACCAATTCAACCCAAAAGCTTAAGCTGTTGGGTGAGGGCCTTTTTAATGGTTTATATTGTACTTGTAAAGAACCAATTCAACCCAAAAGCTTAAGCTGTTGGGTGAAGTTACATTAATGATTTTATATATCTCAACACGCCCCCTCACACGAGAGCTTACTGCGCTGGAAGAGTGGACAATGCACAGGCTCACTTACCTGTGCTAAGAAAATTCCACAAGAGAAAGTCACAAGAGAAAGTGGAGGCGGTAACCCGGGACACGAGGCTCTGATACCATGTAAAGAACCAATTCAACCCAAAAGCTTAAGCTTTTGGGCGAGGTTACATTAATGATTTTATATATCTCAACTGTACTCTAACACGCCCTCTCACAAGAGAGCTTATTGGGCTTGAAAGGTGGAGATGCATCAGGCCCAGCCTACCTGTGCTAAGAAATTCCACAAAGAAAATGGGGGACGGCGAGGATTGAACCCGGGACACGTGGCTCTGATACCATGTAAAGAACCAATTCAACCCAAAAGCTTAAGCTGTTGGGTGAGGCCTCTTTAATGGTTTATATTGTACTCTAACAATATGTCAGCTATGCTGGTTGCTTATGATTTTCTGAAATGTATTTGTGGTCCCCAGTCCCCACATTTAATGAAGATAGTGATGTTAGTAGGCAATGGAAGTTTCACAATGCAAGTAGAAAGCTTGTTGTGTTCCTCAGAAGTTAGTGATTCCATATAAAGCGATTTTCACCCTAAACTGGTATTGCTAGTAGAATCATGGATACTCCAGTTGTAAACAGAGATCATACTATGTATGTACTGATGGATGTGATTGTATTGTAACTAATAATACAGGCTCTTGGTCCTGTATAGAGGATACCCTCAGTCAAATTTGAATGACAACTTTTGTTATGTTAATGGCAATCTGTTGGGTTCCAAATTAAAATCCAAGGATGAAGAGATTGGATTAATCTCGAAATCATGGGATTATGAGCTGTAAATTTATTCCCTTTTCTGTTTTTGGTAGTTTTATATCTATAAGTTGAAGTTTAGTTTTAGTTGTCCTTTTGGAATTCCTTTTTTCTCTCTTGACAGCTAGCTATTCTAGTGTATCTATGTAACCTTTTATTCTGAGTAAAAATAACGCAGTAATTTGCAGTACCACCATTTTTACAATCTTTAAATGTTCTAGTTTTGTCTTAACAGAATGAATTTGGTGTTTGGGAGATCTTCTTGCCAAACAATGTGGATGGTTCACCACCAATTCCTCATGGATCTCGAGTGAAGGTGATTTTTCTCTTGAACAAAATATCAACTATTTTTTATTTTTTTATTTTTATGGATTGGGGTGTTCTCCATATATGCTCATATGGTCCATATTTTTTATGATTTATTCTTTATGAAACAATTAAATCATGCTTTATTTTCTGTTGAGAACTGAGTGTTTGTGTACACAATGAATCATGTATCACAAATTGTTAAGATTTTCCAATTATGTAATCCGGTTCTGTTTCTACATAAATGTTTCCAATATTTTTTCTTATTTTCTTTTTCTAAAGAATTGTGCTAAGGAAGAAGACCAAGATCAAGCCATGTATAAAGAAGAATGCTATCTGTCATGTAAAGAACTTGGGATTCTTTACATGTCATAACATCAGTAAATATCAACGGATATCTGAAAAGAGTCCCCTATTTTTAGGACAATATGTCTTCTTCTTCTTCTTCTTCTTCAGTTCTCCCAAAGCAGCTCCACATTTACTGTGCTGACACCAGCCTAGAAACACCAGAAAGAAAGAATTGTATCCCACTACTTGACAGTATCTAAATAGGTGATTTGCTTACTGTTTTGCACAAAAAACATCAGCTAGCCAAAATACAGCCCTACTCAAATTGATGGTTTTTTAATATCCTATTCTTGTAGGTTTAATGCAGCCTAAATGAATTTGTAAATGATTTAACAGGTTTAAATTTAATTACATATGTATTTTGTTGCTTGTTGGTACATAGATCTTTTATGGTTAATGTCTGTCAAACATTGGATGATTATGGGTTGCATGACTTATATTTTTAATGTGAGTTATTTTTGGTAGAATTAGTGGTTTTCTTTTGCTGAGCCCTTGTCTCTCTACAAGTACACTATTTGCTATTGGTATAACTACGGAAGCCATTAAGTCCAACACTGTCCAGGTGCTAGATATTTCTGGTATAGACTGGTATTTTTGGATAGTATTGGATTTGTCCCAAAAGTTTGGAAATACTTATTTTATGCCATTTCAGAAGCTTCTTGGGAGAAGGCATGCAAAGAGGGGAAGGCCTCAATGCATTGCGTGTCATATGCATTTCTCTAATAAAATTTCTTCTGTATTAAGAGAAATGCTAATAAGGATGATCTTTTAGCTGGGACAGTACATGTTAAACATTTCTAGATGTCTTCAACTAAGTCAATGGGAATTTTCTGTTAACTTATCAGCTGAATATATGTATTTAGATTCGCATGGATTCTCCATCTGGCATCAAGGACTCAATTCCTGCTTGGATCAAATTCTCTGTACAGGCTCAGGGTGACATTCCATATAATGGCATATACTACGACCCACCTGTGGAGGTAAGGTTATGCATTTCTTCCATGTAGGTTACATTTGGAAATGTTACTTGAACATGTTATGGGATAGGATTTTTAATGGCCTCTCTTTGATGCTCTACTCAATACTCCTTGTTGTTTTAAGGGAATTTATGTTATTGATATGTTAAGAGATTGTATATCTTTGTTGTATTTTTAAGCCACTTTGGCTTGCATTTTTATTCTTTTCTTTTTTCTGTTAGGATGATTTTATCCTGCCCCCAAATGTACTTTCCTTTCTGTCTAACAATATATTCTTTTACCAAAAAACTAAAGGGTAGCCAACACAACATTGCATCATTTTACAATGTTTGGCGGCATGCTGCACAGTACGCTGTAAAATTTTAGAATATTAAATGAAGATAATGATTTATTGATAACAGTAATTTCCAGTTGCCTGGACAGATCTCAGTTGCAATTTAATATAACCCGTGATGGGTACTTTAGTTTCATTAACTTCTGCAAATGGTTAACTAAGTTTAAGATGATTTATTGATTTAGTTTTGTTTTCTTTTACTGTTATTCCTCCTGTGCTGATTAGTTTTTTTTTCTCTCTTTTTAACAGGAAAAATATATCTTCAAACATCCACAGCCAAAGAAACCAAAATCTCTTAGAATATATGAGTCACACGTTGGAATGAGTAGTCCGGTGGGTATTTTTAATCGATTGTGATATCGATATATGATCATTCAATTGTTCTTTCCATCTCTTGGTTGGCTTATTTTGAAGTCATCGATCCATTACATGCTAGAGTAGGGTTTTGTTTATCCTTAATGGCTGAATTTCAAGGACTAAATTGTTTGCTGGTATATAAATTTTCTAAAATGGGAATATTTGATTTGCTAGAAGCCAATGTATTTAACTTCTGTGAGAGCAGGACAATGGTATCTTTATTATGATGCAGTAGAAGATGGTAGACGGCAGCTTAAACAATAGAATGGGGAAGAGAAGTAGGATAGATTGAAGTATAACGATATTAAAAGGGTTCTAGTTTTAGGGTTAAAAAACTCTGATTTGAAATTTGATAGTACGGCTAAAAGAAGGCTGAATACAAAACTCTAACGACTATATAAGGTCTAAACCTTATTAAAAGGTCACATGTTAGTCATGTGACTACTTAATATGTAATAAAAAACTGTTCAAAAACAAAACAGAATGGACTGAAACAAACAACATAAAAAGAGCATCAAGGAAGTCGTCAATAACTCCTTGTTGTGTTGTGGGCAAACTGCCAACTTGCTCAGCAACAGGGGTTACTACCTTATTAAATCCCTCAAAAGAGTATGGATTGATATGCAGCCCAGAAGGTAACTCTATTAGGTAAGCCTTAGAGCTTATTTTCTTCAGCAATTTACATGGCCCAAATTTCCTGAATTTGAGATTGTGGGTAGCAACTAGGAAATTTCCATCTCAAATGCACGTGAGACATATGACCCTCTTCAAATTTCTCAACTCTATGGTGCTAGTTAGCAGCAGCTGCATAGGCCTTATTTCTGGTTTTAAAGCTCCCCCAACCTACAAACAACCATGGTTAAGAGCAAAAATTTTGGTTCCAGTGGCTCAAATCAGTGCACAGCCAACAAGGAGAGAGTCATGGGTAGTAGAGACTTCGTGGGAGTAGTTCTAGATTTTTTGGGAACTCAGAAGTTGAATAATGATGGGATTAGGTCATGGAAAATGATATTCCTCTGATACCATGTTGAAATAATAAGATTTGTCTAGAAGCGATGGAATAGAGATAGATTGACACGAGGTGTTAATAAACACTAACCTAATGTAATTATACTAATGATTAGGTCACGTAATAATGCAGTGCTAGTAATACAATCCTAATGCTCGCAGTTGTCAAACTTGAGGTATTCTTTTTATTTTTTTCTTACTGCTTACAATGTTGTCAACCATGCGGTGCAGGAGCCAAAAATTAACACGTATGCCAATTTTAGAGATGAAGTACTACCTCGCATTAAAAGGCTGGGCTATAATGCTGTCCAGATTATGGCTATCCAAGAGCATGCTTACTATGCTAGTTTTGGGTAATTTTCCTCTACTTCCTATTTGATGTACTCCTAGTTCAAGAGTATTGCTTATGGTTCCACACTCCCACTGTGATTCTAAGAATAACAGGCAGTTGTTCTCTATATTTCATGTTTCTCATGCATTAGTGTTTTTCTCATAAAAGTGGTGTCTTAATTATAATAATATTATTCTGTGATGCAGGTATCATGTTACAAATTTCTTTGCACCTAGCAGCCGGTTTGGAACTCCTGACGAACTTAAGTCTCTGATAGATAGAGCCCATGAACTTGGTCTGCTTGTTCTTATGGACATTGTACATAGGTAATGATGGTACTTTATTTTTATTTTTTAATTCCTTTATGAGAATATATCTATGGACTGTATACTTTTGCTTTTCCCTTTTTTTTTGTCCTTGTTTTAAATTATTAATACTTATCAACTCTACATCTTTCAACTCCGGCTTAGACCTGATTACCAATCCCTTATGAATGTAGCCATGCATCAAATAATACATTGGATGGGCTGAACATGTTTGATGGAACTGACAGTCATTACTTCCATTCTGGATCACGTGGTTATCACTGGATGTGGGATTCTCGCCTTTTTAACTATGGAAGCTGGGAAGTTAGTTCCATCTTCACAAATTCGTTGACATTAGTTCTGCTAACATTTTCCCTCATGATCTTCCATACCCTCTGATCGATGGTGACTTATTTTTATTCTTAACTTAGGTACTAAGATATCTACTTTCAAATGCAAGATGGTGGCTAGAAGAATACAAATTCGATGGGTTTAGATTTGATGGTGTCACATCAATGATGTATACTCATCATGGATTGCAGGTACATCCTAATTGGTTTCTGTGATTTTTCTCCCAAGTTTTTTGGTATTTTAAGATAACTCACCTTCATTAATAATTTGTAATTAGTCATCAAGGATTGTTGAATCACCAAGTAAAAGAAAAAGGGGATGAAATCATAAATTCATTATGAATTTTCTCTGAAGTAGTAAACAACGCAGAGAAATTGAGGAGTCTTCTTATTTTGATGAATCTGTTTGTTTTCTTTTGCTGCATCTGTTATGGATGGGATCTTATCCTCTTCTGTGACCTTTTTTCTTCCTACTATGAAATTCCTTCCTTTATGAATGTTGAAACTTGAAAAAGAGAATATTTGGGAGGAGATGTGTCTTGTGTCTACTGTCTATCTTATTTATAGTATTAGTGCATTAAGTACAAGAGCTAATCACAGACTAATTAGTAATTACTGTTGAGATATATAAAACCATTAATATAGCCTACCCAATAGCTTAAGCTTTTGGGTTGAATTGGTTTTTTTAATGGTATCAGAGCCTCATGTCCCGGGTTCAAATCTTGCCGCCTCCCACTTTCTCTTGTAGAATTTCTTAGCACAGGTAGGCTGGGCCAGTGGGCCTGTTGCATCATCCACTCTTCAAGCCCAATGGGCTCTTATGTGAGGGGGCGTGTTGAGATATATAATCCCACATTGGTTGTATGTGCCAACTAATGTGGAGTTTATAAGGCCTTAGGCACTCCCACCCTATGAGCTAGCTTTTGGGGTGGTGTATCTCAAGGTTCTTTAAAGTGGATATTGCACAGGCCCAATTTTTGGTTTACCTTTTTGTGCTTTTTATTTTAATTCCACTTTAAAGTGGGGGCGGTGAGGATTGAACTTGTGACCTTATAATCACTCAAGCTCTGATACCATGTAAAGAACCAATTCAACCCAAAAGCTTAAGCTTTTGGGTTGAATTGGTTCTTTACAATTACCAAGTTAATTAATGGCTATTAACTACAGTAATAACTATAGTTTACTAATAGTGTAAGATGTGCTAAATTTGCTTATGAATCTAGACTATTATTCTAACAATGACCAAAGAACAAATCTCTGCACAATTATTCCTAGCTTGATCTCTGAACAATTATTACTATCAATGCTCACCCAACCCTCGCAAAGTCAGGGAGACTTTTTGCATTCGGGTTTTCCCTTTGCCCTTAGAGATGCTTGGAGTCTTTTTTGGTATAATCCAGAGTTAGAATCTATACTAGATACATTCATTTACTGTAAGTTAATTAGTGCTCTAATATAGGAGCCAATTATTCCTGTAATTGGTTCTATACATAGTATATGCAATATGTAGTCTGATTAATTACACAATTCCAGCCATACTCTCTGTCTTCATGAAGGCTGTGTTTCTTATTATATCGCATTAACATTTCCTTGCCATGATATATTCTCACAGTTTGATTACTGGATTCTAGACTCCCTTGAGCTAATTTGGCACTGGAAATCTTTTTTATTTGGTATCACCCCCTTGACAGTAATTTTCATGCTGTGAGCCTCCCTTAGTTTTGCCATTTCAATAGAACTGATTTTTTTCACTTGTTATTGATTCTGATATTGTTTGTTTTCTAGAACCATTTTACTATAAGAAAAAATCATGTAGAACTAGAACCAGATACTGAAATGGTTCTAACATCTGATCCAGACAAGAGGATATGAAAGTTGAAAAAGAAATAAAGAAACAAAGAAGGAAAGAAACACTGTTAGAAATCCGATGAAAGATATTCTAATAGTGGGTTACCTTTAGTAGAAAAGCATGAGCTTTCACTCATACAAAAATTTCTTTCTCAATTTCCAACCTCCTTGTTTTATTATAAGAATATCTTTTTGCTTTCCTGCAGGTAGCTTTTACTGGAAACTACAGCGAGTATTTTGGATACACAACTGATGTTGATGCTGTGGTTTACCTGATGCTGGTTAATGATATTATTCATGGACTCTTCCCTGAAGCTGTTACAATTGGTGAAGATGTATGTTATCCTTTCCAAAGTCATCATGTGCAAAATTGATTTTAGAAATTATGTAACTTCAGTTACAACTCCCTCTAGAAGTGTAATAGACCTCCTACTACTAAGGTATATGAGAGGAAGGCTAAGAAAGGATGTACTGGGTGAGATGGGAATTTTGGGGAATATTCATGCAGCAGGAGTGGAGTATAACAGAATTGATGATGTGGCAGAAAAGGACAACAAAGGTGATTCGGTTAGTGGGGTGGGTGAATATAGGAGGGAACCGAGAAGAGAGAGATAAGCAAGAATTTACTGAGGTTTAGGAAGGAAGGTTGCAGCCCCTCAGTGATGCTCTATCTTTGTTATTTCTGTTTGAGTTTGAGTGAGTTTGTATCCAGATTTCTCATCCGATAATGATATCAGTGGCAGAGGAGTATATCTCAACCTTTATTAGCTCTCCATGGTCAAGTATTTTGGTTGCCCAATAATGTATTATGGTTTTTGTTGTAAAGAACTAAAATACAGAATACTGTTTTTTTTTGTTAGAAAGTTCAGTATAATTTTTCTCAATATCAATGAAAACTGACACTTGAATTTTACAAATTCTTTCCATTTACAGGTCAGTGGAATGCCAGCATTCTGCCTTCCTACTCAAGATGGTGGTGTTGGCTTTGATTATCGCCTGCACATGGCGATTGCAGACAAGTGGATTGAGCTTATCAAGTAACACTTTGTGTTTATTTTTGGTGTCCAAATAAAACATATTAAGTTCCCTTTGCAGTACTCCTGGTTGTGGAAAATTATACTGAAACATAAAGTATATGAAGCTCTTTACGGTATACTTGCTTAGTATGCAATATACATATATATATATATATATATATATATATATATGTATATGTATATATATATATATATATATATATATATATATTGACTATATACATCAAATTCTGAAAGAACAAAAGAATGAGTAGAAAGAAAGCTTGGAAATGGTCACATATATGCGCGCCAATGAGAATGGGCCCAAATGAAAATAGTATCAATCTAATGTGCAATAGTACATGCAAATCAGATATGATGTGGGTTTTCTTCTCAACAAGTATTACTTATTAGCCTGCATATAAAATTTTTACTGCCTTGGTAAGTGTGGCTCTGTAATGCCAGCTCCAAAGGCATGCTAAATTTGGCGTAACCTTGACTTAATAATGAGTGCTAAGCCTAAGACCTTCAAAATCTGAAGAAGTCATGTAAGTGTAAATGAATTGCGATTGTTTGTTTGAATTTACTGCAGGCAAATCACTCGTTAACTTCTACTGAATGACTAATTATTTGTATCTGGAAAGACGCAACAATTTATGTGTCTTGACATTGAATTTATAAACCAAAGGCAACATCAAATTGCGTCCCCCTTTGGTTGCCAGTTGTTTTTCAAAATCTTAGCTGTCCTTAAGCCCTTATATTTGACCTGTGTGTCCATTGTCATTCAATCTCACTGTTTGTTAGTAGTGTGAAAAAAAAAGGTGTGATTTCAACCATGTCCTTGTGTGTAGGAAGAAAGATGAAGACCTGAGAATGGGTGATATAGTTGACACACTCACAAACAGAAGATGGCTGGAAAAGTGTGTGGCTTATGCAGAAAGTCATGACCAAGCCTTGGTTGGCGACAAGACAATCGCATTTTGGTTGATGGACAAGGTGCTTAGCTCTTACATATGTTGTGTTTCTCATATAAGAGCTTCTTACATAATAATGATATTATAGCTGTGTACTTTATTTTTTCTGCACTCCAAAATCTATTAAAAGTTGATATTCATCCCCGTGAAACTGCCTGCTCCAATCTTTTTGTTAGAGAATAGTATAAATCATTAAAAATACCCTCACTCAACACCTTAAAATTTTTGGTTGAATTGGTTCTTTACATGATATTAAAGCCTCGGTGTCACGGGTTCGATCCTTGTTGCCCTCTACATTCTCTTGTGAAATTTCTTAGCATAGGTAAATTGGACCTGATGCATCATTCACCCTTCAAGCTCAATGGGCTCTCATGTGAGGGGGCGTATTAGGAAATAGTATAAACCATTAAAAAGGCTCTCACCTAACACCTTAAGGTTCTGGGTTAAATTGGTTCTTTACACTTTTTTGTTTGTATCATATGCATAAACAAAGAAGAACTCGACTATTTTAAATCTCGTCAAAATTTACTCTTCATATGCCCTTGTAATCTGCTCCTTTGAGGATGGGTTGTAGTTTAGAAGATCCTACAATGACATCCCTTAGTTTTCCAGCTGTTATATCTTTTTTTCTTCCAGTTGAATCATCAAGGACATTTGCATTTAGTTTACAAGTGTGTACTCTAGCTGCTTGTCATTGAACATTTTATATTATATTCTTTTTTCTGCTTCAGGATATGTATGACTTCATGTCTTTAGACAGACCATCTACTCCTCTTATAGATCGTGGCATAGCATTACATAAAATGATTAGGCTTATTACCATGAGCCTTGGTGGTGAAGCGTATTTGAATTTTATGGGGAATGAATTTGGCCATCCTGGTAAGCATTGGTGATTTCCTTTTTTTCATACTTTATGTAGTAAAGATTCACCAATGATTTGAGTTGTTGCTGTATTTTAAAATCTAATGATTTCAAGAAAATGTTCAGGTTGTTAATTCATTGTTCTTCTGTTCAGAGTGGATTGATTTTCCAAGGGAAGCTCGATATCTTCCTAATGGTGATGTAGTTCCTGGGAACAATAACAGTTTTGATAAATGCAGGCGTAGATTTGACTTAGTAAGTTTCTGGGTTACTTCAATCACAACTTATGCAATTACTAATTTATATTCCTGGTATTTATGTTCATGACTAAAAGGTCATGGGTTTGAATTCAGGAAACAGCTTCTTTGCAATTATGCAAGGGTAAGGCTGCGTACAAGGATTACCTTTACCCCACACTCGCTAGTCGGGTTTAACGGAGAGTGGCTTTTTTATTTTTTATTAAAGGTATTATTTGAATATAGCAATTAATGTGGGCCAATATAAACAACAAAGTGGGTTAACTGTTTCCGGTTTTTCATGATTTCTTTTATGGTCTTCTCTTTGACTTAATGGCGTGTGGTTTGTCTTACGATGAGGGGAGAAAAGCTGTTAGCATCATAGAGGGGTAGAATTTGTGTTATTAATTTTTTTTTTCTTTTTTTCCCTCTCCACTCCCTCTCTCTTACTCTCTCAATATCAACATCAACATCCATTTATCCCAAACTCTCTCTAAATGAAATAATTTTAATTTTTTAATTTTTATGTTTTCATTTATTTTCACAATATAAGTTATATTATTTTTCATTTATTATTTATTTTTTCTTAATCTGTTTTTCCTTTCATATGAGTTCATCTTAATTTGAGATAAATGATGTTGACATAAGAAATAAAAACAAGGAGAAAGAAACTAGTACCAAGCACAAGGTAGTAATATATTTATAATAATTATGAAACATTGTTTCCGGATAGAATCAACCAGTTTTGTGGGTGGAACTCTTAGAACTAATGCTGCGTTACTAGATACATCAATTTGACATTCCATATTAAAGCACACTTGTTTTGTAAATGTATATTACCTTTTGTATTTATTAGTCTAATCCATAGGCATTTTACAAACTTATGTTATTGGCCATCCAAATTGCCAAGGAAATAATTCATGGGTCACAAATTTATCTTCTACTTTTTTTAACCAGGGGGATTCAGACCTTCTAAGATACCGGGGGATGCAAGAATTTGATCAGGCCATGCATCATCTGGAAGAAAGATTTGGGGTGAGTCCTATTGTTTTCCTGCCTCTACTTTTGTGCATGTCAAGGAAATTCCCTAATCAAGTTTCCTTTGGTGAAGACTCAAGTTGATTTTGAGTACCATCATCATCATAATAATAAAGATACCTTGTGAAAGCTGATAATTGATTTTCCTTTTTATCTCAGACAGGCTCTACCTGCTTGTTTATTCTACTTTTTGTTCTTTCTAAATATGTATTATAGTGTTGTGTGCTCATTGAATTTAACCTAGTTTCTTTATCCCTGGGGGTAGATGCAGTAGTAATTAATGTGTAATAATTGTGTGCTTACTGTTGATGTAGTTCATGACTTCTGAACATCAATATATATCACGGAAAAATGAAGATGACAGGGTTATAGTCTTTGAAAGGGGCAACCTCGTCTTTGTATTCAATTTTCATTGGACCAACAGCTATTCAGATTACAGAATTGGCTGTTTAAAGCCAGGGAAATATACGGTATGATTTGTGTGTTATTACCTAGCCTGTGGTAATTATTTTGTAGGTACACATTCATCAAATCATTGCCTATAATCAAAGATAGTAACATACAGTTAATTGGTGACAAGATATTTGTTTAGTTGTGCATGTGCATTACTTGGTAGTACATATATGCCTTGTTATTTTGAGGAACGTTATTTTCTCTGTCTTGTTATAAATGTCTCCTAATACAGATCCCAAATTAGGAAATCATGATATGGCGGTTATTCAATTCCATTATAAGTGAACCAAGTTTGAATTTTCTCTGTTAGTGTGAATGTAAATGTATATTGATATTCATATTGAAATTATTTGTTTTTTATATCAAATTCACCTCTTTAACTAGGAGCCTATATAATCCTACCAAGGCGACCACCATTAAACCCTTTTCCCATGTTTGATGATATGTTCAATCATGTATAATGAATTATGCTTTTCCTTTTCCCAGATTGTCTTGGACTCGGATGATCCATTGTTTGGTGGCTTCAATAGGCTCAATCACGCTGCTGAATACTTCACCTCTGTGACTTCTCTAAACTCATTTGTTTCTGAAGTGTTCTTGTGCTCAGGCGTGGCCTAAAAAGCATGCCATTGTGTCTTGTTTTTCTTCTGTTCATGTTATTACATTCATGTGGATGTGATTTCATTGTTGTTTCTCCCACATAAACATCTCTTTATAGTTCCTTGGATGATTTTTTTACAGGAAGGATGGTTCGATGACCGGCCTAGTTCCTTTCTACTGTATGCACCTTCTAGAACAGCAGTGGTGTATGCCCTTGCAGAAGATGAAGTAGAACAAGATCAAATCAAGCACTGAAGTTCTGGTTCTGGTTCTGGGTTAAATAAAGGTGTCAGTGCTTAGTGGCATAGAATATAGATACAGTAACTCATCAACATAGCCAACCCACATATCTGATGGTTTGACAAACCCTGAAACAACCAAGAAGCAGAATTACATCCAAATGTTAATCTATGTGGAGCGTGTAGCAGCATGATAACGTTCAAATACATGTTTCTTGCACACCAAGCTTTCTTTTTTGTTAGGATTTCACCTGTGTAAATTGCATTTGAGAAATATATGATGTTTTTTTAAGAATCACGAATGTATTTATGATTTAACTTTTTAAGTCCAAAAAAAATGAAAGAAAAGATTTATACGATTGTTTGGCCCATTGCTTTGGGCTTCGGGTTTATTTTGGATATGGATATTTGTATATCATGAGATTGCATTTGCAGTTTTGTTGAATAAAATAAGGGAAAAAATGTGCAGTAGAAAAGTTATCTGTAATATACTATGTAGTATGGGTAATATATAGTGTAATTTTTGAAATAAACTCTTATCTTTATTTATATTTCAAAAGTTATACTATATATTATCTGTAGTATATAGTGTAAGTCTTGATTTCAAAAGTCACATTATATATTATTTATAGTGCATAATGTACTTCAGACAATTTTTCTGTAAAAAGTTAAACCCATCAAATAAAAGGTTGAATGTTAACCATGCTTTCCTTCTATCTTTTTTTTGTTTATTTTTATAGACAGAAATTTAAAGAGGCGCGTTACATCAAGGCATGTGGGCGAGGGCATAAACACTAACCCTAGCTACAGCTGACTACTATTACTATCTTTACTGAAGAAGTCAAATTGGACTCATGAAAATGAAAGAAAAGCCAATAAACAATTCATCTTTTAAAAAGTTATCTTAATTGCCCGTACAAATTTAAGAAGAAAAAAAATGATAGTATGATAGGACTAGTGATATATAGCAGATAATATAAATCGTAAAAGCAAATCCGATCAGCTATTTCAGTAAAAGATGACTGAGACTACAGTCTCGGACAAATCTTCATTATGAATACATACAATCATATCAAGTAGAGATCATTGTCAGTTGTCAAGGATCGATCTTGTCGAGTAATTAGGATCCATGAAGAAGCCTCCACTATGTTTACTAAAATGATTCGTTACACAATGCTGCACATTGGATTCGAGCATAACACATATTTAAATATTCATCTTAATTTGCACAGAAAAACCATGAGGTAATCACTACATGAGGCCAAAAACATGTTTATTTATTAAGAATCTTAGGAACGAACCAAACGACGGTGTTGCCGTATGTAGCATGATCAGTATGGTGGAACATGCCGAAGCGACATGCATGACTCAATTTTAATCATATAGTTGGACCCATTCGCCACTCAATTCTCAACCCTAACAATACAATACAATATAGGATTTACGAAGAAACATTTTAAGAAATTGTCCTTGTGTCAAGAATAGTGTTGTTCATCATGAATAATTCGATAAAAAGAAAAACTCTATGAATAAGAAAAATGTTATTTACAAGGTCTTGTCTTGAGTTTTCTTCCCTATCTTGGCTATTTTATACCACAAGTATGGTGATGCAAAGAGATGGCAAAACAAAAAGAAAGAACAAGATTATCAAAAAGAAAAAAAGAAAAAAGAAAGAACAATGATGACTTTACTGATGAAGTCTAACCTCTTGCGCACCTCTTGCGCACAGTGCCAAATTAATTTCAATTGTAAGTAAGCTAAATCAATCACATATATAAGGTTCATATTTTAAAAGTATATATATAAATTTCTTTTATGTAGGAATTTACGAAATTTAACTCGTAATATGTAACATTACTTACATTTTAAATTCAATATCAAGCAAGACACTTTAATGTATCATTATTGTATGTTATATCTTATACAGTGTCCATACTTGTTACCTCTAAATCAAATCCAAAATAAAAATAAAAATAATCAAATCCCACATAAATTTGCACATAAATATAGAGAATCTACACAAGAATTTCGTGGCTACATAAAGAGAATCTGGTGCTGGGTGTCGTTTTCCATGTGTTGAACTTGACAGCCTAGAAGATGGTTTCGTCGTGTGCGTCTTCTGTCTTCATAAAAGCTTTTAAAAAATACGTAGAAATATTTTCATGTCTGCTTCAGAAGTGACCTATTTCAACATATTATTATTATTATTATACATGATGTCGTATTCGTTCTTTGTACCATTCGAAAGTCTTCAGTATAGTTGAATAAAATGTTTGACCTCAACCTCAGAAAAAATAAAACGTTGGGAGAGCGGGCAGCGACAACAATAACTTCAAAACCCATCATTTCCCATGCCGGCAACACGTGGTGCATTTTGGTGCGTAGGAAATAGCCTTACACAGGACAAGTTCTAAGTTACTATAATAAGAGTAATATTTTTAACGGTTAGAACTTAATTTAAAATAGGAAAAAATATTTCTCCAATTATTTTAGAGATAAAATTATTTTTAATGAGCTCAAAATAACGTTGTTTTAGATTGTACGATTAAAAAATTATAATAAAAAAGATTAATATATTCCTGCAATAAATTAAAATTACAAAAACATATTGATTTTTGTCATAAAATGACATCATTTTTTCCACACCGGATATAACTTATCTCCATTGACCGAAGAAATATTTTACCTTTAAAATATTCAATAATTAAATTAATATATTATATGAGATTCATTTCTTATGTTATACTCATATGAAAAGATGTAATTTTTTTTAAATTGATGAATCCACTTTATTTGTTTCATAACATAAAATAACTTCTCTTTATTTGTTTCATAACATAAAATAACTTCTCTCTTCTTACACGAGAGAAGTAAAGCTCATATATATATATATATATCTTTATATATATATATATATTATATTTTTGTTAGCTAAATATTTTTAAAGTGCCTAATTCTATTTTTAAACCGAAAAATCAATTATCAAAACTGTCAGGTTATTCTAATATTGGTATAAGAATAATTATATTGAATTTTGATAATTCATTCACTGGTATTCATTCACTCACTCTTATATTAATATAAAGTGATTCTAATGCTATTAAAAGTACTTTTTAATTATATATTTTTTATAACCACATGTATTTTTTGTAATAAACAATCATGTTCGAGGCATAATTATTCATATTATGAATCTATGATGGAGTTAGTTCTCCCATAAAAAATATTTTGGCATTTAGAAAAACTTAAATTCAAAACATTATCTAAATAGAAACAAACATCTACAACTTAAACAAACACCTTTTGGTTTAATTACAATATTTCTAGTCTTAAGTGTTTATAAAAATATTCTATTAAGAAATAAGGTGCATGAGATTTTTTTTATCATAGTGTACATCTACCGCTACCAGCTGTTGAGTGTGAAGAAAATGAGCGTCAGAAGTTGTTGGTGTTTTCTTCAAAAACTATCATAATAATAATACATTTTTGTTTTCTTCTGCCACCAACTTTCACCACTGAAAAAAAATAAGGATTTATTGTTTTTCATGTTATAAAATGTAAATATATCTTTTTATATGGGTAATGAAGTTCTTAAGTTGCACAAGAGGAAAATAAGTTCCTACTCACTCATCGATTCACGTGCTTTTACTTTTTTAGTTTATTTTTTTTCTCTCATAATGGGTCCCACTTTGGTTGAGTGTGCATAAGAAAAGTTTTTGATTCTTATAACATGAGAAATATAAAGCCCTATTTATATATACATAAAGATATAAGAAAATGTGTTTCTTATGTTATATGAGATAATTTGTCTCATGTAACACAAAAAAAGTGAATGAGACTTACCTTTTTTCTTTTTTTCTCTTCTTCAAAGTGGATCTCACTCACTTTTTAGCGTGTTGCATGAGATAAATTATCTCCTGAAACATGAGAAAAATCAAACCCAAAAATATATGGTATTTATATTTTCTCCTTTTTTTCATATAAACTCGCATAAATCCCATATAACTTTGTATGTTTGTAAGAATTTTTTTTTATTTTCATAAACCCAAAAAATAAATATCAAACTAACAAACAAGCATGAAAGCATATTTTATTTTATGAGGGAATATTTAAAGTATTTAATTTTGGGGTCAACGACTGAAAAGTTTGATGAACACAGTCTGTGGCATGCATTGCACTTGAGACGGAGAGGGGAATCCTATGTAGTGACGACGAAGTGCCACGTCAGGGTTGGGGGGACAAACATGAGAATGGGTCTGACACGTGTATGTGGTCCATCACTTAACCACACGTGGGAAATGGACTCAAAGCATTGGCTGCGTTATGTGCGGGTACATCGAATGACGGTGCATTCATTACACACTGTCCTCTCTGTTTTGTCGTTTAACGTAACCTTCCTACTTCAGTGGGACCCGGCTTCGATTCATTTACAAACAAAATTTCGTGTGCCATATTTTTCATTCTTTTTTAAAAGAAAAGTTAATTGAATTTTAAAAAAAATATATTCCAAAAGCAGAACATATAAAAATAATATCTGCCCTATTTATTATAGGTTGAAATAAATCTTATTTTCATTTCATGTGATGTGAGAAAACTTTAATTACTTATAAATAAATTAATAATTATGAGAAATGAAAGAAAAATATATTAAGATAAAAATGATAAAATTATTATGATAGATTTGTTCATAAATAATTAACACCATTATATATGATATGATGATGTTAAATAGTAAATAATATATCTAATATGAATAATCCCCTTTGTTACTTATTATTATTATTTATATATTTTATTCAGATAGATTCTGAAATCAAATCCATGATGAATGAATTGGGCGAAGATGGTGATCCCCCAAATTTCCAAATCACAATTATGCCCCTCATGTGCTTGTATTTACTAGTTCCATTTTCTTCAATTCGCGCCATTAATTATTTATCTATCAATCAGACTATTTCAGAATTATATCATTTGTTGGTTCTGCACGAATATCCTATTTTATTGTTATGAATGACGTCACATTTAATGTAGAAATACATCTAATATAGCACACTTACTATATTCAATAACTATGGTTGATATTTATTTTAATTTCAGTGTTTGGCTGTTTGCTTAATTATCTGGACCATCCAATAGATTCATAGCTTCCAACAACATAGTACTAGTGATAAGTGGTTCACTAAAGAAATAAGGATAACACCATTTATCCTACACCTAAGGAATAAATGATAAGGTCACTTATTTACCCCCCAACAATCTCATTCCACGAAGGATTCTACATTATAGGTAATTCAAATATAAATAAAGGGTTAAGACTATTAGATACACATTTTATAATCTCTATTCTTTTAATTAATTGTGCACACAATCCATACTTTGTCTTTTTTTTTTGGATATTAGGGAATTACAAACAAACAAAACAACCTACTTAAGGATCTTTGAAGGTATTAGCATACCCCAACAGATCCTTCTCAACAAAACTATAACAACCTAAAGGAATATTAGACAATAAAACTAACTCCCAAGAATTATGGTCCACCTTAGAAGCCAAGAAGTTAGCAACTTCATTCCCACTCCTCCTCGTATGAGATAGCATAACCTCCACTGCCTATCAATCAGCTCCTTGACCCTATTTATCAGATTGCAGAACGGGTGGACATCAGGACAGATTCCTTGAATCAATTGAAGAGCCTCAGATGAATCACCCTCCAAGTGAACATGCTTAAAACCATGCTCCCAAGCAACTTGAAGCCCCATTAACATCCCCCATAATTCAGCCTTCAAGGCATTACCTTGACCAACCTTTTTCATAAAACCAACTAGCCATTTTCCATCACTGTCGCGAAGAACTCCCCCACAACCACATTTGGAACCATCTAGTGAACATGCCCCATCCGTATTGATCTTGATCCAACCTTTTAGGGGAGGCTCCCACTGCATCAGCGTGTCCTCCTTATTCCTCACTCTAATCTCTGCCACATCTAGAGCGTTTTCAGCATGTACCACATTCTGCACATAGACCCTCACTTTATGGAAAAAGCTTTCAGGAGAGCTAATAATCTTCCTAAAAACCAAGTTGTTCCTAGCTTGCCACAACATCCAACAAGTGATACCAAATGTAAGTCTCCAAGCCTGGTCCTGATTATCCTTCCTCCCTCTACCCAGGTTAAATTGAATCCACTCCATAAAATTACCAGCAAAGAAGCCTCCACAACTAGCTTTATCAATTAACAAGGACCAAACTTGTCTAGCCCAAAAGCAATCCCTCATCACATGACAGCAATCTTCACACGGAAGCATGCATCTGGGGCATTTAGCATCATCTCCCATATGTCTACATCTCCTTTGCTCATTTGTTAACAGCTTATTACCAATTAAGAGCCATAAAAAAATGTTTAATCCTCTCTGGACCCCTCCACTTCCAAGCAAGATCCCAATAGCTGTCCTGGTTCTTAATACTTGGATATTCATTTCTGATGAGATGGTAGGTAGATTTCACAGAAAAAAGGCCATTGCTAGAGCAATTCCAGATAACGCTATCCTCCTCATCTCCTTCCTTTGGTGCTTCAATCTGAGCAATGGACTCACAAACCTCTTCAGGAATATACATACTGAATTTATCCCAATCCCAATCCCCATCTTGATTAACACAATGGGCAACCTTCCAGCATTTATCCTCTTCAGGAACAGGGCTAGTAACTTTATCAATTAATCTGCCAATGTCAGGAATCCACCAATCCAGCCAGAAACTAGTTAGCTTGCCATTCCCCATCATAACTCTTGTACCTGCCAGGACATGGTTCCAGGAGGAGCTTATACCCTTCCACATGTTGCTAGCATTAGTAGTCCTAGGCATCTTTGGCATAAGGCAATCCTCCATTTTATATTTACTTCTCAGCACTCTAGCCCATAAAGATTCCTTTTTGGTCATTAATCCAAAACCAACCTTCATGATGAAAGCTTGGTTAAACGAATGTAGATCCCTCAAACCAACTCCACCACATTGCTTATTAGAACACATACTCTCCCAATTAACCAAATGGACACCTCTTTTCTCTTTAGTTGAACCCCATATGAATCCACGGGTACACTTTTCTATTTCTCCACACACAGATTTGGGTAACCAGGCTATTTGCATAGCATAGGTGGGCATAGCAAAGAGCACTGACTTAGCCAAAGTGAGTCTCCCAGCTAGAGACAAAGTTTTAACACTCCAAGCATACAGTCTGTTTTTCACCCGATCCAACACATGACCAAAGGACTTTTTACTCACTCTATCATGCTTTAGCAAGACCCCCAAATATTTTCCCAGGTTAGGGGTACTGCTTATACCTAAGCAACCACTAATCTCTTTAGATCTTCCAAAGCTAACATTATTAGAGAAGAAAACCCTGGGCTTCTCCAAATTAATTTTCTGCCCAGAACTTATAGAAAAAATTCTAAGCACCTCATTTATAACTTGAGCCTGCTCCATGGAAGCTTCAGCACAAAGAATGATGTCATCAGCAAAAAGCAGGTGCGATATTGGTGGACCTCTTTTTCTAAGAATAATAGGCTTCCAGGCTTTCACATTATTAGCTACTTGGATAAGGTGGGCAAGCCTTTCAACACACAAGACAAATAAGTAAGGAGATAATGGATCTCCTTGTCTTATTCCTCGGGAAGGCTTGAAGTACTTGGTGGGCTTCCCATTCCACAGCACATTTAACTCACTAGTTCCAACACAACAATCAATAAGAGATACCAGACTTCCAGGAAGACCCAATTCCATTAGAGTATCATGGATAAAATCCCAATTCAGCCTATCATAGGCTTTCTCAAGGTCAACTCCAATCATCATCCAACCCTGCTTGCCTTTTTTCCTTCTCATTGAGTGAATAATCTCCTGAGCAACCAGTATGTTATCAGCACTCTGCCTACCCTTTACAAAAGAGCACTGATTTGGGGCAACAAGACTGGGCATCAGGTTCCTTAATCTGTCAGCAACCACCTTAGTGACAATCTTATAAGCAACATTACATAGGCTTATTGGTCTGAAGTCTCTCATGCACTCAGGATTGTCTATTTTTGGGATTAGACAAAGATGAGTTTGATTTATCAACTGAATTCTTTTGGGATCTTTAAAAATACTCCTAATTAGCTCACCAACAGATTTGCCAACCAGGTGCCATTGAGATTGAAAAAAAGCAGCATTTAGGCCATCTGGGCCAGGGGCCTTAAATCTTCCCATCTTGAACACAATACTCTTGACCTCCACATCATCAGGGGTCTTAGTTAGATTCTGCAGATCCTGGACCTCCAATTTAGGAAAGGTCCATTTGATAGGAAAATCTTCAAAAGAACTATCTTCCTCCAAAAAAAGATTCTCAAAATATTTCACAGCCGTTTCAATCATACCTTTAGTGTCAACTGTCCATTCTCCAATGTCATTTTTAATAGCACAAATTTTATTTCTCCTCCTTCTGGCAATGGTAGTTGAGTGAAAGAATCTTGAATTTCGATCACCAAATCTCAGCCATTTGACTCTGGATCTCTGGAACCAAGTCAATTCTTCTCTTAACAAAATGGTCTCCAATTCCTTCCATAGATCTCTTTGCAATCTCTCAAGGTCTCTATCATACCCAGCCTCCAGCTTCCAATCCAAACCCTGAATTCTGACATAGAGTCTATGTTTCTGTCTCATCTCCTCTTTAAACACCTCCTGATGCCATTTAGAAGTTGTAATCTCAAAGTCTCTCCTAGCCACAATCCATTTAGCATTACTTCCCCAACAGTTTTTTACAATATTGCTAAAATCAGCATTTGTGAGCCAGGCAGCAAGAAATTTAAATTGAATTTCACCCCTAGACTAGACTGAGAACAGCTGACAAGAATTGGCCTATGATCAGAGCTGAAATAAGGTAAATGAGCTACCACTCTATTCGGCCAAACAACATTCCACTCTTCATTTGCACAAGCTCTATCAATCCTCTCTTGTAATTTTCCCCTCCTCCAAGTGAAACTAGGACCTTTAAACCCAACATCAGCAATCCTACAATCCATAAGGCAGTCCTGCATATCCTGGATACTCTTCCAGCACACATCCAGACCCCCAACCTTTTCATGTTGTCTTAAAACAGAATTGAAGTCCCCAAGCAGGATCCAAGGGCCAACAACAGAATCAGAAATAACCACCAAGTCCTCCCAAAGTTTAATTCTCTCCACTCTCCTCGGGCTACCATAGACAAAGGTAGCTAACTCTATCCTTCCTTCCTCAATATAGTGAATTCTAGTATGTACATACTGATGATGGGCACGAATAACCTCCACCTCAACATCTCTATCATCCCATAAGATCCAAATACCACCCATAAATCCAACAACCTCCTGTTTAAAAAACTTAGAGAAACCAAGCTTTTTAACAATAACATCACCTTTATCCCCCTGAATTCTAGTTTCTAACAAAGCAAGAACTTTTATTTTTAACCTATATTTAATATCCTTAATCAAAGCAGGAAAACTTTTTTTACCTACTCCTCTACAGTTCCATGAGCAAAGATTCATAGTCATGAATGAAAATAAAAGAATCAGTACCTCAACCACCAAGGATTGAATCATCAAGTACCTACAAGAGTCCTGGTCCCTCCTGGACCTGAGATCCCCTGATCACCTTCTGTCCCATTCAGGACAAAGCCTCCAGTCTTCACAGGAATGGTGTTTTCCTCCCCTTTGCAATTACCATTGACTAGATTATTAGGATCCTGAGAAGGCTGCAACACTCCCCCTTCTGACCCCTTGCTTCTAGCAATCACCTTTTGCATTCCCAAGCTCGAAGAATTGGGAGGATGATTCTCAGTACCCTGACTTCTATTCACAGTCCCTTTATTAGTGACTTTATTTTTCTGAACACCATTAGGACCCAAAGTGCCTCCTTTAAAAGGGCCAGGCTTCATTCCACCTTTTTTCTGCTTATCTGACCCTGAAGACAGGATACTAGGAACAGGTCCTTTAGCTTTTTTATCACTACCACTTCCTCCATCAACCTTACTCATGACCACTTCCTTCTTATCAACTATTTTAGGCACTATATCAGAGACCACTTCCTGCATAGGGCTATCTGTATACACAGCCTCCCCAGCAATTGTCCCAACAACAGCAGTATCCTTCTGATCCTCCAACTTCTGGTTTCCTTCTTTATTAGCTGTAGAGTTAACCGGAGTAACCCTCATCCTCCTCCCTCTACCAGGTTTCTGGACTACCATCCAAGATCCGAAAGCCTCATCATCTTTCTGTTTCTCTTCAACTCTTTCCTTCTTTTCAATATCCTGGTCCCTCACACCAGGAGCATCAGACTCAACACTGATTTTCTGTCCACCAATGCTAGGACATAAGTCCTTCCTATGCCCATACATACCACAGGCAAAGCAAATCATATGTAACCCCTCATAGCCAACTTGCAATACCCTCTCTCCAATTTTGAACTTCGATAGGAAACTTTTCCTAAGATCCACCTCAACATAGATACGGGCAAATTTGGCCCTTTCTGTTACATCCCCATCTCCATACTCATTCCTTCTAATAGAATTCTTATCTATCTTAAGTGTTCTCCCAAATATACTGCCAACTTTCCAAAGATTTTTGGTAGTATAGAGCTCCAAGGGAAGCCCTGGTATTCTGATCCAAACAGCCAGCTTCTTCAACTGATCATCATACGGGTTAAATAAAGGCCGCCATCTTTGCACAGTTAGATAATGATCAGCAACTATCCATGGTCCTTCATGGAGCACATGATTGTAGTCACTGTCTTCCTGGAATCTAACCACCAGATACCCATTATCCATGTCAATAACCTCATACACACCCATCAGGTTCCACATTCTGATCACACGAGCCATTAGAAACCTAGCTCTCATTCTCTTCCCCAGCAGCTTAATAATCAGCGCTTTCCTCCATTGTTTACAATCCTCTTTGTGCTGTCTTCTCGACAACTTGAACGAAGGGCATAAAGGATCCTCCACAGCATCAACCGATCCTTCTTCCAGCATATCCTCCTCTTCTTCCTCCCTTCTCTGCCTAGTCATCCAGTCCTCTTCTTCATCATCCGACATATCATCAGCTCCATTGAGCCTCAGCAGCTTATCTCTGTAAGAGACAAATCTCTGCCCCTGCCCACTGCTTTTCCCAGAGGAACCACCTAACAGTGGCGCAGCTTCATCAGCAAGAGCCTTTCCAGGGATCTGAAGCTTACTCGAGAGATCCTCATTTCCCTTAACATTCAGCTTCGGAGATCCAAGATCCCCTCCCTGCATGCGATCATCCATCACATCATCTTGGACCTCCAAGCCCTTAGGCTTTTTTATGCTCCGATTCAGATTATCTTCTTCCTCCGTCGACGCCGATCGTGTTTCTCCCATGACACCCAGGAACTTTCAGAGAGAAAAAGTTTAGCGCGTATCCATACTTTGTCTTTACATTATTACTATTCATGCATAATGATCTGCTACCTTTTGTGGTGTCTTTCACATAGGAACCACAAGCGTACCGATCCTAGATAAAAATATTAACCTTCGATTGGACATTCTTAATCCTCTCAAATCGACTAGCTCATTTCTTTCGATTACTTTTTTTTTATGTGATGTTTCCTATAAGTTTTTTTTTTAACTTTGTTCATTATGAGATAATGAAAGTGGTGTGTTGCTTCAATTTTGATCTCATTTGATGATGGATTGAAGTTGTTAGTGAGTTGCTCCTCCGTATGCAATCATGAGCAATAGGTGATGGTACACCTATAATGACTCTAACGCTTAAATCAAAAATTAAGAGAAGTGGAGTAATATATAGCGAAGAAGATGAATACATGGGGCATGAGCCTTGTTTTTATAGACAAATGTAGAGGAGATTCCATCGTATGAGTTACTCGGATAAGCGATTACAATAGGTGACCAAATTGTTGGGTCTTATATGAGCAATGAGACTTGCACAATGCAAATAGTGGGACATTATCGTTACAGTGTATGGAGTAGTGGTGAGAATTGTGATGTAGGCTTTGCTATTTAGTGGATGCAAAATAGCAAAATGCAAACTAGAGTAAAATTTCAGGTTAATTCTTATATGTAAGGGTAGAATATGGTCTATTTTTATACTTTGAATTGATTGATAATAAATTTGTCTCCCAATTGAATAGAGGTATCTGAATTGGGATCGTAGGTTTTTTTTTTCTCCAGTTGAAGTTTTTCCCACATTAAGATAACAATCACTTATTCCCTTTACTCTTTTTTTGACGCAATTGTGTGTATTTTTTAAACTGCAAATTTTTTAATAAACTCAATTCATCTTCCTCTTGAGTTCATTTGGGACCAACAGTTCAATTTAAGATGATGGGACTGATGTGTTGCTTCGATTCTAGTTTCCTTCGATGATGGATTGAAGTAGTTGGTGAAGTTATTCCTTCGTGTGCAACCATGAGCAATAGGTGGTGGTACACTTGTAGAGACTTGCTCGAGTTAGCAAGTTATAGAGGTGGATTAATGCGTAGAAGAAAAAAATGCATTCCCAAGGATATGAAGCCTTACATTTATAGATTTCCTTATACAACTTAGTGGGGTAAATATATTTTACCAAATTGTTAGGTCATAAAGGAGGAGTTGCAAGACATGCATGATGGGGTTAGTGGGACATTATACTACAAGGGTTCAGTGTGTGTCATTCAAAAGGACACAAGTTGTGTCATTTTAGTGATTTTCACACTCTGTATAATTCTGAAAAGTTACCTTTTTTCACTGTACACGTCAGCGATGTGACTGGAGAGAGAGAGAAAAAAGTAACTTTTCAATTTTACACAAAGTACGACCGGTCGTACTTTGTGTAAAACACCTAAAATGACACAAACTTGTGTCATTCAAAAGGATACTTCTTTTTCCCTTACTACAATGTATAAAGTGGCGGTGAGGATATGTGTGATAGGGATGTTTTGTCATTTAATAAATGGACCATGTAACTATGTAAGGATCAAAATAAGGGTCTAGAACAAACTTTTTTTTCATTTATACAATAAAAAAAATTCTTTTATTAATGCAAGTAAGCTTCTTTAATTTACATGAAATTTTGTAAATAAATAAATTTTTTAACTTTTCACACAATTTCATATTAATTTCAAAGTTGGGACAACAATTAGTCTCTCCCATTGTAAGTTACCTTAATATTCCTTACATCGAGGAATCTCAAACCTACCATATGAAGTTAAATCAAAATAATGATTAATAGATTAATAAGTGCTACCTTGTTTGTTAGCTGAATAAAAAGTCACGGTGTAAGTAATTGCCATAATTAATAATTGTCTTAAATCATAAACAATGCGAAGAAACTTATATACAAGCTTGCTTGTTCGGTTAAAAAGTGGCATGGAATAGATTCAGAGTTGTTAAACAATGACAAAAGGAAGAAAAGCCCAGGGAATTACGTGTGATCGTACATAAAGGTTTTGTTCTAATCTTTATATCAAGAAATTATTAAAAATATTAGAGATGTATAATATGAAATTATTAATGTGGGCTTCATTTAATAATTTAAATATTTTGATTTAAATTAATTGCTTTATATGGTATTAAATTTTAGTGACCAAATAATTCTATGTTCGATTCTGATTACTCCATTTTATTTTTAAATAATTAAATATTATAGATTTTTTTTGCATTCTCCAACATTTAAACTCAGTGAATTTTTGGGTGAAAAGGTGTGTTATCAAACTATTAATATTATAACATTTACGTAACCATTTAAGTTTTTGGGTTAAATTATTGCTTTGCAAAAATCTTTTGAAATAAAGATGAATCTTGAGATTAATTTTCTAAAATAATGATATAATATTTTTTTTTTTGGTAATAAATGATATAATATTTTAATTTAACTTAACAACGACCTTATATAACAATTTCTTACTTTTGTACCAAAAAAATAAAAATAAAATCTTACTTGCTTCAATTTATCAGTCTGTTATAAGAAGGAAAAATCGACATTAATTGTAAAATCGCCATATAGATCCATGCATATATATCTACAAGCAAACCAGGAAGATAGGAATTAATAACTGCAATTATTTTATTAAATAATACTAGCTCAGTTGACGTATGATATAGGTGTAGGTAAGAGCATGTTTTGATCCTTCTCAATATCATTTTCATCTTTGAGATAACTTTAAAGTCTTAATTTTAAACGCGTCCCAAACTCTAGATTAATCCATAGGAAATCTATAAGATTACTGGGAGATACTCTCTAAAATAAAATAAAAATAACTGCAATTATATATTTCATTGAATATCAACAATAGTAAACACTATTTTGATGAGAATCACAGTGAATAATATACTGAAAATTACATGGAATATTGGAATGGTCGCCTTGTCCCATGGCAGTGTGAGCAACTTATTCAAATTTTTAATTCACCAACCTGCAAGAATAAGCAGACGCCTAACTTTGATTTGCATTTTATTCTGATTTCTGTGTTTTGATAATTGATGTTGTGAAGAAATAAAATTTGTCAAAGCTACACATATAAAAAAAATGCA